GAGGTACTAATTAGTACATTTTAGGTACATTTTTTTAGTAAGTGGTATAATTTAATTCGCGATGGTACACCCGCCATTTTGACTCTCACGTGTCTTCTTTAAGATTATGTTCTATGTCAAAACTTCAATCTACTTAGGTGTTTTTAAGATATAAAGTAACAAACATCCATCCATCCACCTATCTAAACTTTCGCAAACGTACGACATAGATAGTCACTAGCATTTAAAATGTTATACCGAGCTTAAACTGTGGTACATGTTGGTGTAACGATAGGTTTAACTAGGTATAACGTATTCTCGGTTTTTTAGTACAATTTTGCCGCGTTTATTTGTAAGGCTGTATGCAAAAACCATAAGGTCTTCATTCTATTACTTTTAAAGTATTGCCAGTTTTTATGTTTTTCTAACCTTAAAACTAAAATTGTTAAAATATGATTTGATGTATTACTTACATTCCTTGATTAATAGCACTTTTAAGTGTTGTCGGTGAGAGGCTTCCAGGGCCATTCATTGATATAGTGCTACATTTGCAGTCAATAATAGTCATATCATTATCTTCTTTATCATAAAAGATAGGATTTCCTGTAACACCAACCACCAGAGATATAAAACTGCATCGTTCCTCTTCCGCGGACGGATCAACAACACATTTAGATCCTATTTTACATAATGTAACCTGAAAGAGTTCATCTATATTATAGACTTGTATTTACGAATACAAAAATAAACTCAAAAACGAATGGACAGATTAAAAAAATTCTCACTATTACACACTACTTTATAACTGACTAGCTGTTGCCCGCGAATTCGTCCGCGCAATATTAAGATAAAAAAATAGGTTATAATATGCCCCGTATTTTTTTTTAATGTGATTTCCGTTATCAGCAATGCAATGTTCTCGAAATCTAGATTTTTGATAAAACAAACAGACATTCTAATTTCATTATATGTACAGATCTATCACTCTATCTATCTATCTATCACAAACTAAGCTACAAGTCATAAAAAGAACAAAATTTACTTACCAAAAGTGGTGCTGTTCCAATATCTAAATGTTTGGTATCATACGGATCATCTGACAATTGTAAATCAATGTTGCCACCATCCATTAATGCTGCTTTCACACATGGCAACCTGGTGTTAAACAATGCAGCTTTGACCGCTAGTGAGACTGCATCACATAGATTGCCTCCACATTCAAGTATCTGTAAAACATTTAAATCATTTGGAGCTATCGCAAATTTTCTCAAAATGTAACCTTGGCAGCTCTATCTATACTAATATAATTAAGTGTAACCACACACTATTTTGTGGTGTAGGATGTCAACAATCACAGCATATTTTTGAATAATCCTTTTTTAAAAAAAAAGCTTTACACTTACAACACACTTAAGACTATATTTTCACACTATAAAACTTAGGGGGGTGAGTAAATTAGAAAAAACATTCATGTGGGAAAGGGATAACTAACTACAAGCTGCCAACATTAAGGAATCAAGGAAGCAAGGTTATTAAGAATTTGAGAATTATTGAGAATTTGGCAAATGTAAACAATAAAATAAGGTTTTTATAATTTCATGCAGATAAAGCTACTCAGGAACATTACATAATTAGCAAAATAAAAGCCTAAATTATATTACATCAAATGACATAAAATGTATTTATGAGTTATACTTACTAAAATATCAACATACAATTTCCAACACTGTTTCCCTTCAAATATACAGAGTTGTTTTAAATTGAAAGCTTGCGGACTGTAGTATGCGCGCTGCATTGTGCTTGATATGGTGTTTGCTAGTTGCTCTCCCCCTCTGCCTTCAAACTCTGGCGTTGCATTTGCAGAACTAAAATATTTTTTTCAAAAACATATACTTTAGACACTAACTCATTTAAGTTATTATTAACTATGTGTCAGTATTGTAATTAAATATGTCAATCTTAGTAATACCATAAATGCGAAAGTTAAGGTAGACGGATGTTTGTTAGGTTTCTCAGAAATGGGTAAATAGATTTTGATGAAGTTTGTCACAGGTCTTAAACCTTGTCTGGAGAGCACACAGGTACATAGTTTTTATTCTTAATCTGCGTGGAAAGACTTGCATGTAAATGCTAGTAGTTTCATTTTTCTAAAATAACATATAAAATTTGTAAGTCATTTTGTACTGAAAATATTATGATAGACATGTATATAAGTAATGATACATGACTTACCAATCCACAAAGAACTCTATTTTGCCAAATCCAGGTGTCTCTGCTTTTGGTACATCAATTTCTGTTTTAACTCCAACAAGGATGTCGGTGTTTGCAAGCCTCAGTCTGGCGGAGCCACTTGCATGGCTCACCACATCCGTTTCTAACTCCATTGGTCTATAGTCGATACTAGATCTACCATCGGATCGGAAATCATGCTGAAAATTATTGGAAGTAGATTTGGTTCAGTTTTTTAGCATCACACTTAATTTTGACTAAGTTTGGGATGAAAATTTACATGTATACATGAATTTAAAATGTTTTCAATTCACATTAATTTTTTATTTTACGAGTTTTTATAAATGAAACAATATAGTTAGAATTGAAACTTTGTTAAAAGTATATAACCTAAAATAGCAATGTTTTGAAACTCAAACTTTATTTAAAGTAAAAAGAATATGTAATATCGTACAGTACGTTTATTACACGGTACATTTTTTTTTAATTTGATATGTTGTTTTATAAAGACTTACTTCAACTCCATGTACGATAAAAACTTGCTCTGACTGACTTAGTAAAGAGCCCGCCATTCTGAAGAATATTACATATAACTAGGAGTTATGCACTAAATAATTATAAGCAAGGACTAGTTGTTGTAAATAAGTTAATAGTAAGAAAACAGTTGTTTTATTTCAGATTTCAAAAGTTTGAATAAACTCAAAAATAAATTGCCCTTGTGGATATCTTGTTGTTTGTTGACATTTTTGACAGTTCAGGTCAAAGGGGGTTGCCAGGATCGCTTGAATTAAAGAACAAAAAGAAAATCAATTTGCCAGCTTCGCATTTGATCATCGAAACACAAAACGGATGTGATAGATAATAATCTACGATGGATTTTAGTTTTAAGATGCCTTTATCGTGGTTTCAAGTTCCCGCTTGCTAAGTCTTCGTAAGAAAGTGGGGATGAGCTTCGCCATCGGGGCAGGAGAGTGGAAGCTGGAACCTCTAGTGTTGAAGTGTACTATACTACTATTGTATTATTTTAGTCTTAGCTAACTTCCCATTGTTCATTTGCCTGCCCCTCTCCCCGCCTAGTTCAAGAGCTACGGACGCCCATTAATCTGGGCATACATTGGAACCTAATAGAATTATATTAGTACACAAAAAACTAAGAGTTTCAATATCGAAACTGAAAGAGCTTAAATCCTCGAATCTGAGATCCAGAGTCTGATGGGCACTTTACAAATATAATTTGGTATGGAATGGTTTGGTACAGCATTTGTCCTAGAGACGATTTACTAAATTTTTTAGTATTAGTCAGTTCCTGATTCGCTCCTGCTGATGCTATTGAGGGGGATCTCGCAACTTCCTTTTTTAAATTGCGAGTTATCGTAATTGTTTCATTGTAACAGATTGCGCTTTACGTCTCGGCGGCCTAACGTGCTGGTCGAACAGGGGCACCCATTTGTGTTATACATGTAATCTATTTCACTAAAACAACATAATGGAGGAAATTCCGGGTGGTGTAAATGAAATGGCTTATCAAATGCAAAAGTTCTCATGGGTTGATTACGTTGTGTTTGTGTTTATGTTAGCTATAAGTGCTGTTGTGGGTATTTATTGGGGTTTTTTAAAGGATCAGTCGTCGCAAAATGATTACCTTCTGGGAGGAAGGAATATGAAGGTAATTCCTGTATCGATGTCCCTTGTGGCGAGGTGAGCCTTTTCATACAATCTCTCCTTCCCTTCATCGATTTCATCAACTATTACTTGGTGTATCTTGAACGTTACAACGGTCGATACGCTGGAATCTTAATTGGCAAAAAAGCCTGTTAATAATGCTATTTACAAGCTTATGACAGATGGATATCTGTTAAGGATAGCAAATGTTTCTTTAGCAATTCGAATGAGTTTTCCCTCGCAGACGCATTAAATCTGACCTTTTCCGTTCCTTATTCTTACGTAACTAAAATTTATAATTGACTATGATTAACTATAATAACTTCTTTGCCTAATTTAATCAAAGCTTGCTGGCATGAGGTCATAAAAGAACAAGGTTCTAACTGTTTAGTCTACGATTGATGACCATTCGTTATTTCAAATACAAAGTTCGCAAAATCATATCACATCAAACAATCACAAGAACAAAACGAGGTGAAATGAAACGATAGAGTAGAATTTTCTGTGTCCAAATAATATTCGAATATCAAAAGCTAATTAGACTACCATAAACTTAGGCATTTTTTTCACTTCTTTGCCCATAGGTCACCAAGTTGTTATTTTAACATCGTTTTCCTAATTTTTAAAATATTTTTTTTGCAGTTTTGTTTCAGGAATCACACTCCTCGGTTCCCCGACTGAAGTATACATGTATGGGACGCAATATGCTTTCATTATGATTGGCATATTTTTAATGTCGATAGTTGTGACTCAAGTATACTTGCCTGTTTTCCACGAACTTAAAATCACCTCTAATTACGAAGTAAGAATAGTAGACTACGTTTAATACGATTACGATTTTTATAACTACACCTCTAGCACTGCATGTGTTAAATCACATTATACTTTTTCGCTTGAAATTTGTTTTAAATATAATTTATATTTTCAGTACTTGTCCCTGAGATTTGACAATAGAGTTCGACTGTTTGGTTCCATACTTTTCGCATTTACATTGGTGAGAAAATTGTATTTATAATTTCTGTTTAGACTTACTCACAAGATTAGATTTAAGTTTTTTTTTTAATTCTAGGTAGGCTGGTTGCCAATTGTTATTTATGTTCCTGCATTAGCTTTTAACCAAGGTATATTTTCTAAACTTATTTCAAATCAACTTCTGTAGACATCGTAAGACGTTGCTCATCAGAATTAACAGTAAAATTATGTTTATTTGAGTTCTATATTTTCAGTGACGGGTGTGGACGTCCATGTTATAACACCAATAGTTTGTTTGGTTTGCATATTTTACACGAGTGCAGTAAGTAAAACACAATGTCCTGAGATTTCAGAGGCATACAAAATGAGAGAATTTCAAATTAGATTTTGATATACAGGGTGGTCTACAAGCTGTGGTGTGGACTGATGTGATACAGATAACGGCAATGTTTGGCGCTATGGCCCTGGTAGCGATAAAAGGAACGTTAGATGTAGGTGGCGTTGGCGTCGTGTGGCAGCGGAATTTAGACAGCCAGCGGATCGAGTACCCTAAGTACAGCACTGTCACCTTGTTCTTATATTTTTTTTTATAAAACACCCACACCCATTTTTAACAATCTAATTGATAGTATGACTAAACATGACTTTTATAGGAAAACTTTTCACAGGAATAGATATAACCATGTTTTTTTTACTTACAGTTGGGATCCTAATCCTACAGCGCGACACACAATATGGAATCTTGTAATCGGAGGTCTTGTTTATTGGCTACAAGCAAATGCTGTGAATCAAACGATGGTTCAACGGTACTTAGCACTGCCAACATTACGAGGTGCCAAATGGTGAGACTAATCAACTATGAACTAGACTTTAAAATATCGTATTATTTCTTAGGAGAAAAGAGTCATAGAAAAAATACAATAATACATGTAGCTGTTCAATTTACGTTTAAGTTTCTTACTTCCTACGCATCAACACGATGGCAAGTTTTAAAATAAAAATTATGTAGTTCCCAGTTGGTTTCAGTTACTATGAAATACGATAGTTGCTGTTAGCGTACTGTTTTACTAATCGATAGAAATAAACGTGATCCATGCTAACAAGATATATTTCATTTCAGGTCAGTTTTTCTGTTTTGTATTGGCATATCAATTTTGTATTGTTTTTGCCTTTACTGTGGGCTGTTAATTTATGCTCGCTTCCATGATTGTGATCCTTTACAGACTAAGGTAAATATTAATCATTTAATTATTTACAGTATTGTCTAAAGGGTAGCATTTAAGTATGGTAATTTGCTTCGCGTTTGTAACAAATCGTCTTTCTTTTGTTTAGTTAGCGAAAGCAAAAGATCAACTCCTGCCTCTGTTGGTCATGGACGTGTTAGGGGATATTCCAGGCCTTCCTGGTGTGTTTGTAGCCGGTATATTTAGTGCCGCTTTAAGGTAATAAAATAATCTCTTTGATTTAGATTTATTTCATTCTTTATGTGGTCAATATTTCATATAATATGATTCAATAATAAGCAGCAAGTAACCGTACGTTTAATTTATTAATTTAACGTTTTATAAATTTTAGTTCCTTATCGACAAGCTTAAACTCAATGTCGGCAGTTGTGTTAGAAGATTTCTATAAGCCTTTCTTTAAGAGACAATTATCTGAACGACAAACTAATTGGCTACTTAAAGGCGTTGTAATTCTTTTAGGATGCGTGTGTCTTGGTAAGGATGATTTTGTTTACGTATTCAGGATATAAGAAAAAAAAATGTTATTTGTGACTAATGTTAACGTTTTCTTCGAAAAGTCAATGTTATTTATTTTAATTGTTTAGCGTTGGTTTTTATCGTTGAAAAAATGGGAACGATTCTACAGCTCACGATGACTTTGGAGGCGATGACGATGGGTCCCCAACTCGGAGTGTTCACGATGGGAATTCTCATGCCTTGGGTAGACGCCACGGTATCTGTTATGATTTTTAAATTAATTGCTCAATTAAAAACATACAATCAAAATAATTACATTAATTATAATTAAACAAAAGAACGTATATTAAGTAACATTAATTAACGCGTTTACTGTTTTTAAACTTGTTATAATTTACTAGCTGTTTCCGTGCGATTTCATCAGCATAAAATTATTTTATTGTTTACATGTGTCAAATTATGAATAGCAAATGTCAAAATGACATGACATGACAAAACTTAGCAATCTTGCTTCCTTGATGTTGGCAACAACTTATGATCTCTTTCCCACATTAGGGTTTTTATCCAAAATATTTACCCCCTAAGCTTAATGGCCTGAAAATATATAGCTTAAAGTGTGACGTAAGTGTAGGGCGTTCTATTAAAAAAGAATTATTCAAAAATATGCTGTAATTCCTGACATCTTAGGCAACAAAGAAGTGTGTGTTTACGCTTTATTATATTATAAAAGTATAAAAAATTGAAAGGTCTGATTGCAAATAAAAAGGGCTATTAACCCAATACCTTCACGGATCGCTTTTTAAATCATCTTAGCGATAAAACACATTTTTTCATCCTTTGTTTTACATATTTTCAATAATATTTCAGGGAGCATTAATAGGAGGTATGTGTGGACTAGTGACAATGTCATGGTGGTGTTTATCAGCACAGCTGGCTATAGCGAGAGGACAAATAGTTCATCCTCACAAACATCTCTCAACTGTTGGCTGCCAGTACAACTTTACTATACCACATACGACGGAACCACCTGTTATGTAAGTTCTATGTATGAATTTGAATATTATGCGTTAATCTTGAAGTCTGAACTTATGTAATACTTTTGGTTTGCCCTAACGTATAGTGTTGTTTAACTATTTTCCATACGAGAACAGCTTCAGCGTAGGTTACTTCTTTCTTAAGTCATAAATGCAAAAGTTTAGATGAATGGATGTTTGTTAGAGTTCGTAGCCTAAACGGCAGAACGGAACTGGATGAAATTTAGCTGTAGAGCGTAATCTGGAAGAACACGTAGGCCATTTACTTTTTTTTACTACGACGCGGATGGAGTTGCGGGTGAAAACTAGTCAATTATAAAACTTGGATTTTAATGTAGGAAAATTAAATAGTAGATTATAAGTACTATGACGTCATATATCATCATGAATTGGTTTTAGAACTCAAGTAAGTCCAGTACTCCACGTGTCATACATGTGGTATACGCTCGCTGGGGCTCTGGTGGCGATTTGCGCAGGCCTGGCGGTATCCCAGGTGAACAGGTGGCTAGGGAAGGTGCACGTGTTGCCCTCCCCTAATCTTCTCGCACCACAACTCAGAGGGCTATACAAGGACCCACCGCATCCCGGAGATGACTCTTACATAAGAGCTTATGATAGTAAAAAGGTAAGATTAAAGTGTGTTTGCATATTTGCTGGGAATAACACTGACTAAAAGTACGTTTTTGCTTTTAGGTTGAACGTAACAAAAATTCAACCGCAATAAATATGATACCAATAAACGAAATCGAAGAGATCGGTTGAAATTAACATCGTTTGATATTAAACAATGTTTGTATTTGTATTGCAGCTCTACATAAATAAGTGTATGTAATTATTGATTCTTAAAATCACGCAATTTGGTACAAAAAATCTAACTTTTATTTTTACCTAAATAAATAAGTACGGATACATTTAATTACGCTTAGTGTCTGGTTTCTGAGAAATATAAGAACCAGATAAATTTGGTTGAAGGTCTATTTAAAGTTCCAAAAGGAAGTCGTCAATAAAGCGCGGGTCAGAAATAGCAGCAGCCTGTTTGCGTAGGAAAATAACGTGGGCCAATTGAAAAATTACCATTGCAAGTGTGGCTGGGGACTTATTGATGTCTTGAGGGTCATGAGTAACGTTTGTAACACCTTATTTATTTTTTTTGCAATTTCTTATTTTATTGTTTTTATCCAATATGGAAAAACTTAATGTAACAATCGTTAGACTATCGTATCAACAAAAGTTTTCGTGGTTAGATTACTCTGTTTTCGTAACAATGTTGTCGATATGCGGTGCGATTGGTGTTTATTTTGGATTTTACAAGAAACAGAATTCAACTCAAGATTATCTAATGGGCGGTAGGAATATGAAACTTATACCGGTATGCTTTTCGTTAGTTGCTACGTAAGTATTTATTTCGTTTACATTATTTTATTTTTCAAGTTACAACATAAATTTAGATATATTTAAATGATAAAAATTACTTTAATGACGCATAATGGGTCGTAATACGACAATAATCTTTTAAGTATGAACTTAACGTTTGGATATTGCGTTGCTTGTATTTTTACTATTTGTAGCTGTTCTATTATTATATTACTATTAAACCCAGGAGTAATTAAATTTGGTTTTAGTTTCATTTCAGGGATATCCCTCTTGGGCACACCTACAGAGCTCTATGTTTACGGGACTTCATATATATTTTCATTTATCGGTGCTGTTATGATGTGTATCATAATTTCTCAAACGTTTATACCCGTATTACATGATCTACAATTGACTTCTGCATATGAGGTAACGAGTTTTTTTTACTGTTTAAACAGGGATCTAGTTGAATTAAACAATTCATTGACATTTTTATGAATCCGATTATTAGAGTATTTCTGATAACTGTTACATTATTATTTTTTGCAGTATTTAGAGCTACGGTACGACAAACGAACGAGGTTATTTGGATCTGTTTTATTTAGTGTTTATTTGGTAAGTTTTTATTACACTGAAAATTTGTTTGATTGTGCTTTTTAATCTAATTTTTATACGACTTTCCAAAAGGAATCGTCTGAATCCTGAATTTCGTCTGTATTTTTTTATGTGTTACCACCATATTTCTTCTGTCCTGATGAACTTATTTTGATAATTGTTTTGATATATGTAAATCGAATGTATATTGTATATTTTTCAGATGGCCTGGCTACCTATTGTTATATACGTCCCAGCATTAGCCTTCAACCAAGGTATCTAACTTTAGCTTTTAAATGGCCTGAAGTTTCACAAGATTCTGATGTATTTCCTTTTGTTAATTTAATTGATTGATTTCTTTCAGTTACTGGAGTAAATATTCACATAGTTACACCTATCGTTTGTATTGTGTGTATATTTTACACATCTTTGGTAAGCTAATATTACGCTATATGTTATTCCTGTAAATTATTTTTTTATTAAAAAGTAGTGATTTTAGGGAGGTTTACGAGCCGTTGTATGGACGGATGTCATCCAAACTGTAGTAATGATCGGAGCAATGGTACTAATTATTATAAAAGGGACTATTATAGTCGGTGGTTTAGAAGAAGTTTTAGCTAAAAATTGGAACAGTGACAGGATTGAATTCCCAGTGTAAGTTTATTGTGTTTTTTTTAAAAGATTGGAATTGAAGTCTTACAAAAGTACAGTTCTATGATGCATATATGTAAATCTCTGAAGGATTTCGTTTTTTTTCATTTTAGATTAACTTGGGATCTGACTGAGAGACATTCAATATTGTCTGTGTCAATCGGTTCTACATTCTACTGGGTTGGACTTATTGCTGTAAATCAGTCTATGATGCAAAGGTTTTTAGCGTTAAAAGAATTAAAATCATCCAAAAGGTAATTTTTTTTGCCTTTTTGTTTTATCTACTTATGTGAAATACATACATATTGCTCAAAAATATAAGTTTGTTTTTAACCGTAATGTCTGAGAATTTTATTGTTACGTTTTCAGGGCCGTTTGGGGATTTTTAGGTGGTGTTTTATTAGTTGTATTCATATGTGGATACAGTGGTTTGTTAGCATTTGCAAGATATCATGATTGTGATCCTGTTAACTCAAAGTTAGTGCTGGCAAAGGATCAGTTACTCCCGTTGTTGGTTATGGATGTACTCGGTGATTGGAATGGATTGCCGGGTCTGTTCGTAGCTGGTGTGTTTAGTGCTGCACTTAGGTAATTTACACAATATAAAAATTTTGTAAAATACGCGAAAATTTTATTTAAATTTTGTTTATTATTATAATCTTGTTTTCAATGTAGTTAATGCCCTAATGTTAGATAGAACTCTATGTTTTTTTATTGTTTTTAAGCTCTCTGTCAACTGGCCTTAATTCAATGTCTGCAGTAGTGTTGGAAGATTTTTGGAAGCCATTCTTCAGACCTTTAAGTGATAAGGAAACTCAGATATTAGTGAGGACTGTTGTTGTTGTACTGGGCGTCATATGCGTGGGTAAGTCTTATTTACTACTAGCTTTCGCCAGTGATTTCGCCCGCGTGAAAACTAAAAAACAAAAGTGAGGAGCCTATGTGTTTTTCCAAACTATTATCTACATCTATACCAAGTTTAATCAAAATCCGTTTGGCGGTTAAGTCTACAGTCTCTAACAAACATCCATCTAAACTTTCTCATTTTTAATATTAGTGTGATGTATAACTTTCCAAAGGCCATTACTGCCTAGCAGAGATGTCCTGGTACACTTATATTCTTACCTTTCAGGTTTAGTGTTCATCGTAGAAAAACTTGGTTCAGTTTTGCAATTAACAATGAGTTTGTCGTCAGCATCGATGGGACCACTTGCAGGAATATTTTCTATGGGAATCTTTTTACCTTTCATTGATTCTACGGTAAGTATTAATTTATCTGTAGATCCTTTAATGTTTTATTCGTAATTATACCTACTTCAATAATAGTTATACATATTTTCATAATTTCAATTGTCATGTTAGGTGCTAGTTATTCTGTTCTTATTGTAACAGTTGCTATCAAAAATGTTATTATGTATGGAAATAATGTTACTAAGTAGTATTATCTGCTGAATAGCAAAGAAGTTGTTTGCAACTAACTATTCTGTATTATTCTTATGTTGCGAATATTTTTTAAATTACCAGAGTGCATTAAGTGGTGGCGTAGTGGGCTTGGCGTCAGCGTGGTGGGTCGCCGCCCACTCACAGTTGGCTCAAGCTAAAGGATTCCTGAGATTCGACGAGAAAGAAAGATTTACACATAATTGCACCTATGACTTTGGAACCACATTTTCACCGGACGTTGAACACGTGTACGTAATTTATTTCTCCATTATTTATACCACCTTTAACTTTGATTTATTATTTTTGAAATTCCATGTGGTCTCTTCTTATTTCAGGGTGGTATCTTACCTGTATCGCATCTCATACTTATGGTTCACAGCATTTGGTTGTACGGTGACTGTGATAGTTGCAACTCTATTAAGCTTCCGACAATATCCAAGAGTTCAAAGCGATCATCAATTATTTGCTCCATTTGTAAGATCATTGATTAAAAGGAAACCGGTAAAAATATTCATAATATAATACTCATAAAACATATTTTTAAATTTATACAAAGTAATACGTTTTCTTAGTTTCAGGTGAAGAAATCCACAAGATAAATGTTGCCTTCAAAATCATCGAAATGGTTTTTTCAAGTGTTCACTCTGAATATTCCGGACCTGCGAAGTGTTCAAATTTATGTTACTGCATTAGATTACAAGAAAATAAACAAAGACAAATCAATTTCCCAACCTAGATTTCGTTAAATCACTTTTGCCCATAGGATAGAGAGTACCAGTACAAGTGTTCTCGAGGACATCTTGAAGATTATTGCATTCGTTTGCCAAGAAGCGATTGTTTTCAAGTGTTGTAGCCATATATTCGTATGATCGTCGATGAGAACAGTAATTAAGGATACAATCGGGCATTTTATAGCCGCCATTGGGATAAAAGTCAGCGTCACCGCAAGGATCTCCGTATCCATACAAGGCTGTGTTAGTGTGAATGACTTCGACGTATTGTGCGTCACTCGGCATTAATCTATTTTTGTCATTCTTCCATAATGGACCGCCTGGATCTAAACCTATAGATTGTAGATAATTAGATAAGAATAAAGAAAACTAAGAAATGCGTTGTTTTGTTCATTCATATTTGAAACTAGCTATTTCTCCCGACTTAGTCCGCGTGAAATTAAATAATATAGCCTATGTTACTCACAGATAAATTACTTTACAACAGTGAAAGATATAAATCTTTCCTCTTTATAATATTAGTATAGATAAAACACCAACACTTTTTATAATGAGTCACCTTATTTTATCTTTGATGTTACTAACAGTGATTCAAAAGAAAGTATTGATAAAAAATTCCGTGGCCTCGATTAATTTTTATCTAAAAAAACGTACCAGTTATCCGCCTAACGCGTGAGTTTGTCTCCCTTCCTGCATTACCCACTACATGGGCGCCAAGACTGAAGCCAACCAAATGTACTGTATCATAGCTTACTCCTAACGTTACAAGCCAGTTTATAAATTGTCCAAGGGCTGTTCCCACATCTGGTACGCCTAATTTGGCTGTGATATAGTTTTTATTAGCAAGTTTACTCCAATCCACAACTATGACATTCACGTCGTTATCTTCGAGGAATGCTAAAAACATGATTATGATTTAGGTAACGATATAAACTTTTTTGTTATTTATGTAATGTTGTTGGTCGGGTTTAATGTTTAAGATGTTGCTATTGTGGATGAGGGAAATAAAGCTTTAAAATTGTTGAACACATTTAAAGGAAGGTAGAATCAATCAGAATGAAAGAAATGAACGAAATGAATGTAGGTCGAAGTCAGATCACTCATTACTGATTTGATCATTTCGTCAACCACAATATTTTCTAATTGAATCGTTATTGTTCGTTTACCTTTAGTTAATAAGTTATTCATACTATTCCATCCGTTGCCGTTACATCCGTGTACTAAAAACACTGTGACATCAGTAACATTAAAATTAGAATCTTGTACACTTGAATTGTTTCCGAGTTCGAAACATTCTGGATTATAAGGATTCGTTCTGAAATTATTATTACAACTAAATTCTTGTCTTGTAAATTAAGCTATGCTTAGAATACTCGCTGCGCGCGACTTCGTCTACGTTAAATTAAAACATAGCAATAAAACAGATTATGTTATTCAGTGATAATATGGATTTTTAATGGTGCATAAATTTTTAAAATCGTCCAAGTAACTTTTGAGTTATATCAATATATACAAAAATCTAAATCTTTCGTCTTTATAACATTAAGTATAGATTAATGTTTAAAATGTAAACATACTTTTTATAATCATGTAATTATGTACTTCTACACCAATGATTTCGCGGTATACTAAATTGTGTTCTTTTGTATAGAAACGTAGACACTTAAAAAATGTTTCTGTTGTAATTAAATAGCAAACAAATGTACTAACCTAGTATATAACCAGTAGGTATTGTAAGAATGTTTCGCATTCTCCGAAATCAGTTCTTCATCAACAGATTCATTTTCAAGCATAAGTAAAAAACTATCTTCGCTATTAGGATAATATCCATCATCTATTATAACATCATTGCTTAATATACAGGCTACAGTGCTAACTAAAACATTAATTGCGAATTAGTATCAAGAAAGAAATCGTAAAAAATGCTCCTTAAATTTCATCTTTTAATTTAGTAGCGAAAATCACAAAATATAATTAATTACCTGACAAACACGCGTATACGAGGAACTGCGCCATGTTCTTGTAAACACACTGACTTGAGTTTTCGATCTATTTCATTGTTTAACAAACATTTTGACAGAATTTAGTACAACACTATCTTATGGTGCTCATGATAATACAATTGATTCGATAATATTTACATTGCTTTCGTGCAATGTATTGTGTATCCTTATCGCGTCACTCAAATATTTTGCGTACGCCTGTAAGTATGTATGAAGCAATGATTATTATGGAATGTTTTCATAATTCAGTGATAGTTAAGCTTTTAGTATTTCTTATAAAAATTTGTTAACTAGAAATATAAAGTGCGGTGAATCTGTAAATACCTCTTTAAGGCAAACACTGGCAGTCAGTCACAAAAAGAATTAGAAACGGAATTGGTAAAGGGCATTGGTAAAAAATTATTGGACCTGATAATAGGTTGGTTTCTCTCGAAAAGATGAAAGGGTCTGTGTCTTTTAGTTGTTGAAACAATTTTATGATTTTTTACTGAGTCTGTTAGATTTGTATGTTATCTGTGTGTTGGCGATGCAATAATCCTTTTTATATTTTTATTATTAATCCTTTTTTTTAAATAAGGATGTTTATTTTTTTATTTATTCTTTTGTAAATATTTGAAGCATTATTGTTCGAGCAGATGTCCCACACAACGCTAGGCTGAAATGTATATTTTTATTTAATTTGTAAATTTTATTAAAAGTTGTTTTTGGTTTATTTCTTATTTATTTTACTCGCGCGTACCTTCCCGTACGAGGTCGTCTCTTTCACCGTGGTTTTAATAAGTATTGGCTGACAAAGAAATTGTTCATGAGAGACACAGTAAAAAATAAACTATTCTATTCTCAATTTTAATAGATATAGTATCGGATTATCGTTAATCCGATACAGTGATTGAATTACTTTTATTTTTTAATTACGAATACTTAATTACAATGGAGATATTAATAACATGGAAATTGGAATTCGTTCATCGTTTGTTTTTATCAGCGTCATTTGAAGTTGATTGATTGATGATATTTCAAAAGATTAAGATTAATTAATAACGTAAAAAAAACAATGACAAAAATAAATAGTGACTCGCAACGTTGAGATTGACGACAAAATCGTCGTCGAATAATTTTGATTAAGTATTGAAAATTAATAGTGAGCCCTTGACCGAGTATTTTATCTAAAACTACAATAAGAATATCTGTAGGCGTATTATATAAAAACCACTTTTAGATTTTTGAATGACATTTTATTTGTAAATTAAGTCCGTTTAAAAAGGCCAAGAGTTCCTGGTGCGGAGACCGAATAATCCAGATCTGGAAAATGAAATAAAATAATAAGTTGTTTGTTCCTTATGGAATGAAAAAATTACATATGAAAATATTTATGAAATAAAAAAAGGCATCATACGTGACTTTTATAAGTCACGTGTGATGCCTTTTTTTGATTACCGGCAGCATGTTAAGAATCAAATGCCTTTCTTAACACTTAAAGGTGAAATAAAATGACCCAACCGGCAATACTCATTCTTAAATAATTTATTCGCAAAACATGCTGTATTTCTTCGATGCCAAAGCTATTTCCTCTGTTCTTGATCAGAGATTGAACTTTGCACTAGTTGACTTTACGATACCGTTTACTATGTTACTTTTTTGTCGACTACCCGAGATTTCGTCCACGCAATATTAATATTAAGTTAAAAAAGTGGCCCATAATATGCCCTTCTGTCAGCTACCCTTTAGTGAAAATCGAAATCAGCCCAGCCATTTCAGAGATTGCGGACACGGCTTGCGGACAGACAGACAGACAAAAAAAAATAAATGCAATTTTCGTTATCAGCAACGCAAATACATCATCTTCCCAAAATCTTGAATTTTTCTTTTGCTGACACAGACACTTTATATTATTAAATGTATAGATAAATATAGATTGAATGATTTAAATTCATAATGATGAAAATTGTAATTGACAGCTTACCCTCGTTTACCGACGATACCGTTGCCCATGTTGAAAGTGTTACCGTTGCATGTAGACAGTTCAGCCTCGTGAATGTTCGGGCACCGTCTGGCGACAAAGTGGTTGGTTCGGACACTGGAAGCGAAGAGATCCGTAGCTCGTCCGTGCGAACAGAGGCTGGTGCCGCAGCCCGGCTGCGGGTTTCTACCGCCGTTGGGATAGAAGTCTGCATGGCCGATAGCGTCCATGATGCCGAGGAGCCGGCCGTCCGTGTGAATGCACTCTACGTAAACTCCCGAGTTACGGTTGAGTGCATTTGAATTTCCACCCCATTGCGGACCCGCAGGATCCAATCCTAAATACAGAAATATTTATTATGTTACACAAGTGGCTCTCATTTCAATTAAATTATTAATTTGACTAATTGTATCAATATTGTGCATGTAGGAGACGTTGTTTTTAATCCCTTCCCCTCGTATCTGCTTCGTATAAGTAAAGGTTGGGAAGGGAACGTAGATTTGACGGAGGAGGGGGACCTATAGGAAGGGGAAATATCCTCTTTATGTGCGTCTCGTCCTCCATCGACTAAGGGTAGGGTACGCATCTGCAATTACGGATGTCTATGGGCAGCGGTGGCTTCGCCATTTCAGCAGTTTCAGGTAACTGCTTGCTCGTTTGCCACCTTAATAATTTAAAAAAATCATGGCTCCAAACAACTTTTGACATTTTTACATCGTACTACCAATATCAATAAAAGCGTTACTGACCGGTAACTCGAGCGGCACGGCGTCCAGCAGTGCGGCCGGCGTTACCGACGACATGAGCACCCAAGCTGAAGCCTATCAAATGGACGTTGTTCCAGTTGCCGCCGGCATTGTTGATGAGCCACACCAAGAAGTTGCCCAAATGTTGGCCGACGTTTGGCACACCACGGACCGCGGTATTGTAGTTACTGTTGGCCACTCTGTTCCAATCTACGACGATGACGTTGGCGTCTTGTACTGCGAGGAATGCGGATGTAATGGTAGGGTTCATAGCGGTGTTCCCGTTGTTGTTCCAGCCGTGGACGATAACTTTAATCGGGCGGGCGGCTCTGTAGTTTGAGTTGCGCACAGAGTTCACGTTCCCGTGCACCAACACTTGGCGGTTGTTAGGGTTAGACCTGGAATATGTATCTAGAATAACCTAACTAGTAAACAAAAATTTACATGCTGGCAGATAAAATGAAATGTTTGGAAAATCCATTTATTTAAATGTTATTTGATAAGATTCCGTTAGTCATCAGTTCCATATTAGCGTTGTAATATGCGACGTAATTAATTCACCTGGTGAAGAGCCAGTACTGGTTGTCGGCACCGTTTCTGGTTTTTAAAAACTCTTCATCGACGGGCTCGTGGAGGTCTACCAAGTGCGGGTTGCCCTCGCCGTCTGGCATCCAGATGTAGCGACTCTGACCTTCCACATAGTGACTATTGTCCCCAGGGACTAACGGCACATCGTTGGCAGCGCAAACTAAAATCATTCATTATTATATTAATGTAAGCGAAAACTTCGTACCCATTTCTTTAATTTTTGCGAACAGATTTCCGTAAGATATAGTTAAAACACTTAAAAGCAATTTTTAATAAAAATAATTGACAACGTATTAGGGTCTTATTTCAATCGAAAAGTGATTACTAGTAAAAATATTGTTGATAAATGTTTAAATTCGTAATATGATTAAATATGCAAGGATTGTTTTTAACACATTTTTAATACTTACACGCTATGACAAAAAGGAATGGAATTACTAGTTTCATGGTTAGAGTCGCTTTGATTTTGATATCGATGTACAAGTGGGGTATTTATTGAACTTTTTTAATCTGATATTCTCATAGCGTGACTGAGCCCCTTATCTTACGAAGATTACATCAATTTATCAAAAATTATAAATGGACTGGCTTTGTAGGGTTTGTCTAGTAAGTTTGCGAAAACGATGTATTATTTTTCTTAATGGTTGGCTTCTAAAAATAATGATAACATGGGATGGCAGCAGTTTGACACAACAAGAATAAACAAGAATAGGCCCTCCTAAATGTTTTAAAAATCCTTTATATGTGTATTTTGGAATAACGCTAGGTAGCATCTTACTAATATTATAAAAGCGAAAGTTTAGAAGGATGGATACTTATTAGAAGGTATCTTCGGAAAGCCTAACGGATCTTAATATTTTTTTACATGTATGTAGAATATATGCTACTTATTTTTGCTTTTTAAATGCCGCGAGGACAGAGTCAGGGCCAAAGTTGGTAATGTTACTAATCTTACTAGTATTATAAATGCGAAAGTTAGAGTTAGTGTTTGTAGCCTAAATTGTTGAACAGATCTCGATGAAATATATATTTTATGACATAGATATATAAGATGGCCTGGATGAACACATAGGCTGTTTACTTTTTCCAAATCCTGCGCGGACGAAGTCGCGGGCGAAAGCTAGTATTACAAATGCGAAAGGTTAGATAGATGGATGGATGTTTGTTAAAAGATTGTAACCTAAACCGTCGAACGGATATCTATATAAATTGGCATAAATGTAGAGGATAGTCTGGAAGAACACATAGGCTGCTTGCTCTTCTTTGACACTACTCGTACAAAGTCGCGAGCGAAAGCTAGTAACATAATAAACACATACATCAAGTTACTTATTGCTTACATATTGATTTAAGATGGCGCCGACTGTTAAATAAAAAAAATAATTGTACATGAACAATGTAATGCAAGTTTTTTTTTAAGTCTGTATTTAATGTCTTTGTTTTGAAAAAACGTTATTTAAACTATCCTTTAAGGAATGCAATTAAGAAGAGCCAGATTAGATCTTTTTTTAGAACAGTTATTAATTAGTAGATACTATTAATTTAATCCGCTTAATTAAATACTAGATAAGAAAAACCTTACTAACATATTTTGGGGGAAATGTTTTTCACAATGATTAATTATTTCGATTAAAATTTTGACATATATGATAAGAAACTATAATAATGTCATCGTTTGGAAATTTTCATATATCAATTTAGTTTCTTTTAGATTAATTGCTAACTTTTTATCGTTGATTTTCTTTCTCGTTGGCACCGTCCAACTGTTGACATCTCGCTGCTGTAAGTTCATTTATTTTAATACCAATCTTACTAATATTATAAACTAAATTAATGAATCCCACGGGAACCGTAACTATTCCCGGAATAAAAAGTAGCCTATGTGTTCTTCCAGACTATGCTCTAAACCTGTGCCAAATTTCATGGAGATCCGTTCAGCCGCTTAGGCTACAAACGCTAACATCTATGCATTCATATAATTATATATGGATGGATGGATTATCCATTATAATTTTATAATATTAGTGAGATGGATGGATGGATGTTTGTTAGTGTTTGTAGCCAAAACGGCTCAACGGATTTCGATAAAATTTGGCATGGATTGAGAGGATATTCTGGGAAAACACATAGGCTACTCACTTTTATTTATTTTAATTCCATGAGGACGAAATCGTGGGCAAAAGCTAGGTACATTATAAACTAAGACTTGTCGGGATTTTTATAATGTATAGTTATTAGTTCTCTTTGTATCCGTCGTCTTTACAAACAAAGAATTTGTGAGAGTATTGTTTGTTTTTTTTTGAAAACGTGTTTTTTATGAATATAGTGGAAAACAAGTTGTAGGGCTATAAATTATGATTAACTAATGCCTATGGACCTGCAATATCAGAACCACAGAAGTTTTGGTCTCAATCAGATTTTTTTAATGACAGCGCATATGAATATACCTATAGTAAACGGTACATGTTGCTTTCTTAAATTATAACATGCAAGTAGAAATATACCTCCTTAATGCATAGAAAAATATAGGGTTTTCGCTGCGAAAACGCCTGCTAAAAATTGTTTCAAACTTATTTAACACGATTTGCGGAAATACATGTTTAAGTGCCGTAGCGAGATATTCATTCCTAAACTTGTTGCCTGCGACTTCGTCAGCTCTGAATTACAAAAGTGGCCCAAGATGTAAAAAACAATAAAATAAAATAGTTTTTATTACAAGCAACACTAACACATGAGGTGTTACAGACATTACAACCTCATTAATTGTAATAAAAATATTTAACGTAATTTGAGACAGCAATTTATTTGCGATTTTATGCCTCAAGGATGTAAGAAATAACGAAAACAATAACATACTTTATAATTTTATTAACATAAAGATAAATTATAATTATTTAATTAAAAACTAGCATTTTCAGAAGGGCCATTTTCGTTCTGTACTTAAGCCGTAAATACCAGATCTGAAAGAATAATAATTGGGTTTACTAAGAATAACAAATGTACTTATTATCATTCCGCATGTAATTGTTCAACATCCAATGCAATTAGATGGACTTCAGATGTGTGTAGAGTAGTAATGCACGATAAAGAAGGAAAATATTACCCTCGTTTGTTTATATCGCAGTTGCCCATATTAAATTCGCTACCATTGCATTGGTTGTTATGCGCTTCAGTTGTATCATTGCAGCGTTTCGCTACGAAATGGTCTGTGTATATACTGGAGGCGAAGAGTCTGTAGGAGCGACTGTGCGAGCACGTGCTGATCCAACATCCCGGCTGCGGATGCTTGCCGCTGTTTGGGAAGAAGTCAGCATGAGCCAACGCCTCGGACATGCCCAGGAAACCACCGTCCGTGTGAATAGCTTCCACGTAATGTGCAGAACTGGTGTTTAATGCATGTGGATTGCCCACCCATAGAGGACCTGCGGGGTCTAGTGCTGGAAGATAAAGTATCTATTATTACTAAAACTCCAAAATTTCAAGACAAAAAATGACGGGGAGAAGACGATACGATGGGAATTATGAAGACTGGTTTGTTCTAAGAATTTAAATCTTATTTCTTTTCCATGTTTGCTTTACAAAACATGAATCGCAATCCGTGACTTGCAAAGGGTCTAGAATAAGTCTTTCATTGAGACTGCAGTAACAATCGGTTAACTGAAAAACACTCTCATTTACCTGTTACTCTTGCCGGTTTTCTTTTAGTGGTACGACCGGCTATACCAACAGCGTGGGCACCTAAACTGAAACCGATCAGATGTACCTCGTTCCAGTCTCCACCCGCGGTATCAATCAGCCATGTCAGAAAGTGACCAAGATGATCGCCCACAGCTGGGATACCATTAGACGCGGATACGTAATTAGAACTGGCTAATCGTTTCCAGTCCACCACGATAACGTTAGCATCTAGTGTATCTAGTATGGCGGTTTTTACCATTCTATTTACATTAGCATTACCATCATTATTCCAACCGTGTACTATAACTTTTATAGGCTTTTTACCATTGTAACTTGAATTTGTTATTGACTCTTTCTCTTCGTATGTTATTATTTGTGCAGTATCAGGGTTAGATCTGAAATTAATGTTAGAATGTTTCAATGATGACGATTGTTTTATGTTTATTCTTGTAACATAAGGACTTTGAAACACTAATCAGTTTTTAGGCGTGTACGTATTAAAGATTAAAAATTAATATTAGATAACTTAAGACAATGTTAGTTCTGTGATTTAGAGCACAAATTACTTAAAATATAACATTTTGATTCTTTCATATATCATGATTACCTTTTTTTCTTGTTATTCTATCAGTATCTTTTAACATTTTGACTAAACAAAATAGAATAGTTAAGATCATATTTCGATTGTGAAAAAATATTTCTATCATCATCATCAAAAAATTAAAATAAGTACCTGGTATAAAGCCAGTATTGATTGTGATTGCTGTCTCTAGCCGTTAAAAGCTCCACATCGGGTTCCTCTTGCAAATCCACGAGGTGGGGTATGTCTTCACCGTCAGGCATCCAAATGTACCGACTGACTCCTTCTATATAATGACTGTTGTCACCAGGAGTGGTAGGAATAGCGTGACCAAACCACACTGTATAAACCATACATATTTATTTCTTTAATCAAATTAATTGTTATAAGTCAATTGAATCTATATTTACTGATAGGATAAAAATGGAAATCGCAATTAGCTAGCTTGCATAAATAATTATGTATTTGACTATTTTTTAGGTTAAATTCCTTAACATATTTCGTGAAACACGGAAAAAGGGAAGACAATTCCATTAACTAAAATTTAAATTTTCGAGTTTTACATAATATTTTTCAATACTAACACTGTAAAATCGACACGATGAACACAATGAGTTTCATGGCGAATAGTAACAAAGACTTTAACTGACGATTTTAACTAAATAGTTATATTGTGATTATTTATACTGTATATCTTATCTTTAATATATTTAATGATAAATGTATACAGAGGGACACTTGGAACCTTATCTTTGTTAATGAGATAATCGCTGAAGGGAACTCTCAATGTTAATTAGATAGATAATTTCTATAAATATGGTCTAGTCTTTATGAAGTTTGTATTCGGAGTCACCTTGACCGATAAATTATACGACCTTAAATGATAACACCTTCTAAAAATGACATTTGATATAATTAGATAAGGAATTTAAATGAGATTGTAATCAACTAAGGGCTCAAATACCAACTCGGAAGGAAGTGCCACCATTAAATGAACTTTTACGTAAACTTGATGTTTACTTGTCTTATTCTATGTAAAAAATATTTTAATAGTTATTTTATTAACAATCTCAAGGACGGGTTCATGTTAGAATTACCCAGAAATTACAAATCTCTCTGACTTTGTCTATTAAAACATTCAATCTATAAAACTACTTAGATGGCAACCAATTGATGGGAAAGCATTTTTTTATTGTTTTCCTTATGTTAAAAGATAGTGTTTTAAAATATTTATCTCTGATAGAAATTTCCAGTTATTACTTAACAGTAATGCTCCAATTAGGATTCAGGAATATAATTAATTGACATTTTTATGGCCGGAGTTTATAAGTTATCGCAAATAGGGATTAATAATTGAATGATAAATAAATTTTATATAAAAACGTTTTATCGGTAAAAATTCTAGTTATCCTTTCAAAATGTCCGCCATCACAAGAGGGCTCTTGTTATTATGTGCTGCTGTTGCAGGTAATTACAGTGCTTTTTGGCGTATTTGTGAACTTGTGATCTGGATTAATGTTTTCTGTCTAAATTAGTGGTAATTGAATAATTGGTGGTTTCTAAGTGAGAAATGTGAAAAAGTGAGGATACTTTCTGCTTACCTATTCCCTAGTTTAGTCCCTTTGTACTCCTGCTTTTAATTGTAATATTAATTTCTGGTATTATAGTTTGTAGTGACTGAATTACTCGATTTTCTCTTTGTTTTAAGTAGAGTTGGTGCTTGGAAAGTATTTTATTGCTTTAGTAAGTAAACTTAAAGTAGTAATCGCATGTATTGGTTTGCTGAGGATCTATGTATTTGTGGCACTTTGATTACAACAACTTTACAACGTACATTAGATTAATATTAACTATCTAATGTCCTAAATTGTAAATGATTAAAGGAAGAAGTCGCAATGAAATCACCACAATGTTGAGATACTGTGTTATGTAGTTTAAAAAAAATAAAGAGTTTTTATACTGGAAACATGAATATATCTGAATAAAACTCATACGAAGTAAATTGATATCTAGTCGAATTAAAAAAATTCTCAAATGTTTAATAATCAAGGCTAACATTTACAAGAATTGGTAGCTTATCTGTTAATACAATTTTAATCTTACAAGATAACGTATGGGATTAGGATATTGGTTATCTTTGTGTTATTTCCAAATTCAATGACTGAAATTTATCTTTATAACGTGTAAAATACTTTACGTTAAATACATGTAATAATTGCAACAGGATATTGCAAAATATGACACATTCATTAACACTGGCTGTTCATATATTTTTTTAATTTCCTAATACCTCATTTCAGCATCAGCGTTCGAGCTGAGAGATGGAGATGTCGTTTTCCATTTATTTACAAGGTTCGTAAACAATACAAATACGACTATCTATGTGCTATGTATTTATGCTAACTGTAAATTGCTATCTTTTTTTGTTTTCAGGGCTAATCCCCAAGTCAGTCAGCCTCTACTGCCCTCGGTGGCATCTATTATGACGTCATCGTTTTCCGTCACCCGTCGCACGATCGTCACCATCCACAGCGACGGAGAGGGTGTATCAGGCAACTTCAACGCTTTTGTAGTTCAAGGTTAACCAGTAATATTCTTTGTACTCGTATTCATCAAAAATAATAGTCACATTCCTAACTTCACTGATAAACTGCTCAGATAAGCAATTTAGATGAGCCGTAGAAGACTGTAAGAGGAAGATAGATCTCTATCTAAAGTTTCTTCTTTGAAATAAAGAAAAAAGAAGACAGTTTCTGACCTGCTGTTTAATAGTTATTTCCATTAATTCCAGCTCATCTCTCAGCGGAGGATGTGAACGTGATAGCTGTGGACTGGAGCCCAGGTTCGGCGATGTACACGCAGGGTCTCGGCAACGCACCCCAAGCCGGTCGCATCATTGCCCAGTTTATTAACATTCTTATCAACACCTTCGGATATAACGCTGCCCAAATTCGCATAGTGGGTGTTGGTCTCGGCGGCCATGTGGCTGGTATTGCGGCAAGAAATGTCAACGGAGAAATTCCTCATGTTGTTGGTAAGAATTTACAATGTATGGGATCAACATCCTGTATTAATTATTAAAATTATCTCTATATGAAAGATTGAATCAGTTTATTAAGATCGAATTTCAAGTTTTCAGCTATTGAATAAATAACCTCCAACATGAATTAATGTTACAGCATTAGATCCGTCTCTGCATGGGTGGACGCATCATCCCGAAATCTTAAATGAAGATGATGCGGCAGTTGTCGAAGTATTGCACACTACAGCTGGTCTTAAAGGTTACGATTATCCTTTGGGAGATATAGATTTCTATTCAAATGGTGGAAAAGCCCAGAGCGGTTGCGGCACCGATGTCTCTTGCTCCCATATTTATTCATATGTTTTCTACGCGGAATCGATTACTGCTGAAGTGGTGAATGGTAGAAGATTTGTTGGTACGTCATGTCTAGATCATGACACCGCTATGGATTTGCAATGTACTGGAGCTAGAGATGCTATATTTGGAGGGTTGGCAACGAAGACTGAGTAAGTATAAAATATATTTACGGTGCAGTCTCAAAACCAGAATTGGTTTAAGCCTTGCAACGCATTTATGATAGGAATAGGCATAAGAAAAAATGACTTACGTTATAGGTTATACGATCAAGTAATTCGTCTCGACTGAAATGATGATGAGATGAATATAAGTCTTAACAAGTTAACTAACGTAGTTAAGAAAGAAACAGTACGAGAAAATAATTAGGAATAATATGTGATATCTTATTTTTTTTCAGTGAATTCGGTGTCTACATGTTCCTGACCAATTTCGTGTCTCCGTTTGCCAGAGACTAAATATAAACACAATTTGTGACAATAAAAAGAGTAAAACGTTATTTTTTTTTTACCTTTACTTGTAGCTAAATATAATAATTATTTACGACATTATCACATTCTGTTGCTTTCGAATTTCGAAAAACAGCGCACTCGGCGATCATTACCAAAGACGTTATAAAAATTAAAAATTAACGGTTTAATGGTAAAAGTAACGACATATATATTTTAATGAGCGGAAAGGATGTTCTTTTGGATGTAATAGAGACAAAGTAGACATGTAAAAAATATATTTTATTAACAAAAATTATAAACTAGTAACTATAACATTATTAAAGCAATTAATAGGATTATTTTCATACACATATCTTCAACTGCATTAAGAACAGAAGCCGTTGCGCAAGCAATAATTTATATCTAAGAAATGCTACTTTGTACTTAAAGCTAACAGGGCAAGTTATCACAGTAAATTAGGATGTTTCAGGTTCTTTGGACCTCTCCGCTGTGGTTCAGGTTTTGCGGTAGAGGTGACTACATTAGTAGCGTTCTGTCGCGGTATGTCGAGTAAACTGCTTAAGAAAGCCATGCCCTGTTCTGCAGTCTGATAAACACCTAAAAGGAATGATTCCGCGTCGAAATCTGTTGAATCACTCGAATCTTCTGATGCAGTCTCTGCTTCTGTTGTTGCTCTAAATATATATAAAAAAAACTTATTAACATTAATTGGACTTAGATCGAAAAATTCACAGTTTCATGCTTTAATAGTTCTAATAAAGTTTAAGTTACTAATACAATGATAATTGAGATTCTGATTGAGATAGATTTACATTGGAAAATCAATACACGGCAATACATTGGCGTTCCTTGAATCCTGCCAAATTATGCGATCCTCCAAGCATTGCAATTATCAGAACAATTAGAGCCATTCTTTAATTAGGATTACTATCGACTTACTCTTCAGTCTCCGCTGGTGGGTCTTCCATTTCCATACCGCCGGCTGTCGATTTGAAGCATCCTATAGGAAACTCCAGCTGTGTCTCGCCAAATAACTTGGGTCCCAGTTCTAAACAACCCCGAAGGCCGTCCGCGGTTGGAGCGAGGTCATTGAACTTCGCACATACTTGTGCAAACTTTCCGAAGACTTGTAGACAGATTGGTGGTGGATTTGCTCCTTAAATAAAAGAATAGAGAGTTTTAATCCATTAACTTGAGTAACTCTGATATTTTTAGCATAACAATTGTTGAAATGTGGAAAGTTATGTCTTGGTATTGACTATTTTAATAAGCTAGTAGAAATTTACAAGTTAAGTGTGTATTTAATCTTGTATTGCTTTTAAAGTCGGTACGCTTTCTCTTTAAGTACCCTTACCGGCTCATAACAGGTTTAATGGGTATAAACATATAATTATATGGCAGAATAAATTTATACTTTCATTCATTTATTATTTATGTTTCTAAAGCCACTTGTATGAGGATGTTAGGGATGTTAGCGTTGTCATCGGTCAACGTAGAGCTTTAAAAAATGGATACATAGTTAAAATTCAATATAAGGAATAATTATTTTTAAGAAGATAGTTATAATTTGATTACCTTGAATTTTTGAACTGTGAATGAGACTTTTTCCATATGAGACCTTAACTGAGAATCCATCATCAGGAGATAAATATTTCATGTGTACACATCCTGAAAAGATATTTGATTAACTATGAGATATGTATGCGACATACAAACATAAATTACACTATGTGTAGTTCTTTAAATGATCTTTTAAAATTTCCTTGAAATTAAAGAGATTTTAAGATAGCAAAATCAGATCAAATTGGACTCAATGCTGTTTGAATTAAGAACAACTGAAGTTCTACGATATTTTGAATTAGAAGCTCCGCAAAATGTACTTTAAAGAATTAGATGTCTTTTTTTACACTTGGCTTCTATTTCCTTAAATGTTTAATAAACCTTACCTGGACCACCGAGATCGACGATGGTAATGTTGAAATCAACACAACAGATGCAGGCTGGACCTTTACACATACAATTCCTGTTCGGTTGAGAATTTCTTTGCTCAGGGACTTCAATCAGCTTCTTCCCACCGTCCCAGTCAAGGTAATCTGAATAGAATACGGAAATAATTAATAATTCAGAAAGGGATGTCGAAGTCAAGGAGCGATTTAAAATTATAACTGAATCCTGGTTTCTATGGAACGTTCTTTGTCTTTCTTGAACTTTATTAGAGCGTATCTGATGTTAGAAGGTATTTCCAGAACGGTTCTATGGATCTTAATGAGATGTTGAAGAAAAATTAGGGATTATCACACAGAGATCATATTAACATTATAAATGCGAAAGTTTAGATGGATGGATGTTTGTTAGAGTTTGTAGCCTAAACTGCTGAACGGATCTGAGGGTAGTCTGGAAGAACACATAGGCTACTTGGCTTTGTTTTTTTAATACTAAGCGGACGGAGTCGCGGCGAAATTTAGTATAATATAATTGTCAACAGTCGACACCAAATACTCGTATCGTGAATGTGAACCCTATACGTCTATTAGTGTCATGTGCATTGTATAATGGATGAAATAAGTGTCGCAAAAAGTGAATCTATAAGTGTTTGAGCGTTGCTACTTTGTGTGACAGCGTCGGTGACATCACGCAAGATGATTTATCACTTTCAAATTGTTTTACTTTCACTTGTGTGTATACTCTTTAGGGGCATTGTTCAGTGTTACGGTAACCACTATATTATGTATCATTTATATAAGATATCAACTGTATATAAAAGGAAATTGTAGGATTTTGTTTTTCGATTTATAGAATGTCGCGTCTTTATGTAAAAGGATTTTTATTTTAAAAATATTTAAGTACGACTTAATTTTATTGTAATTAAAAATTGACAAAAAACTTGATTTTATAGAAAGTTAATTCAGAAAGTTTTTAGTCAAGTAAATATATAAATGACGAATATGAGTACAATAGATAAAAGGGTAATCTATTCCTTAGGGTTACAAGATTAATTAAAAAAAATTATAAAAATGCCTTTATACTCACCTAAAAAACTTGCACAATTTGCGACCGCTAGGAGAGCCAGCAAGGACAGTGTAAGTTTGACCGCCATCCTGCTGCAATTAAATTCTAGAGCGTTTAATGAATTTATTTTTTTTTAAATCTCGCGCGTGTAAGATGACGTCAGATGTACGCGAGAGGCGTCGTGCTTGGCCCGCGGCGAGTCAACACTGCTGACTACTCCTTTACTCGGATCTTGTTCGGGCCGTTTCACTTCACTCACAATAATAGAAGGTGAAATTTTAAATAAAGCATAACTATACTGTAATGATATGCACTGCTGAATTGAGAAAGCGTACATGGTGGTATCAGTTGATATAATAATTATGAGAAATAAGACTATCGCAGTACTAATCATAGAATTATCTTCGTTCTGTTGACAAGTTAGTTTTATCGCAATCACTTAGGTTGAACTTTATGCATTATTCACATTATTTATTGTATTGATTTCTCGACATCTAAATACATATTGGTAATATTAAATTCAGAAAATTTTAATTGGTTTATGCCAGATCGACACTTGAGGTTAACAGACTTATCTATACAATTATAATAAAGCGTAAACACACACTTCTTTGTTGCCTAAGATGTCAGCAATTACAGCATATTTTTGAATAGTCATTTTTAATAAAAAAACCCTACACTTACGTCACGCTTTAAGTTATATATTTTCAGGTTATTAAACTTAGGGGGTAAATATTTTGGATAAAAACCCTATCTTGAGAAAGAGACCATAAGTTGCTGCCAACATCAAGGAAGCAAAGTTGCCATGGTTTGTCATCATTTCATGTCATTTTGACGTTTGCAATTGTTTGTTCTGAGGACATATACGAAGTTTCCTGTCTTAAATCCTATACTCTGGATCAAAATAACTAGTTTTATTTTCATTCTATTGTTACAGGTGGAATTGCGTATCTTGTTTAATATAAATTGTTTTTTTTTTTCTGATTTAATTAATGATGTACTTACCGTGAAATATATGTTAGCATCATTAAGATGTGTAAGCAGGTGCATTACGGTCCACCGCCGTGCAATGGGGTCAATAAACCGCGCCGGCGACGGATCATGTGCAACATACTCTAATTAAAGTTCATTGAGATACATTTGAAAAGAAGAATAGACATTATTTACTAAGAAGAATAGACATTTTGTGTACGGATACAGATAGTATATATGAATTCCGGTGGCCACGATACAGGCATTTTCTAGTGTAGCCAGATTAACTCGAATAACCATAAATAGTAAATTAAGATAACTGTAATTAATTTTCTGTCATGTTTAATTTTAAGTTCTTGTCAAAAATATTTGTTTTGTAATCTTTACTGTGTTAATAAAATATTTTCATTTTCATTTTTAAGATAAACTGTACTCTTTGCTACATTAAAGTCAATGTTTGCCAGTTTGGCCTTTATTTGTTCCTTAGCTGTTGCTCGCGACTTCTTCCGCGTGAAAATATGGCCTATGTTACTCAAAGATAACTTACCATTCTAACAATACAAATCTTTCCTCTTTATAATATTCGTATAGATAACCACGATGCATTCTGATGAAACTCTAAATGTCTAAAGACGCCAGAATGATTTTTAATTGAAAAACATTTATGTTGAGCGTGTTATAAAAGCACTTCTCAAATATTAAATAAGTGACAGATGTTTACATATAAAAAAAAACGTTTCAATTGATATCAAAGCCTTCAATTATGTCACTCATAAAGATTAACACCAGTAAAATGCCAATAGTTAAACAAGAAAGTTTGTAGCGGAAATTATAACTGACGATTGTTTAAAAGTTACATTTTCAACGCATGCGTCATAAATGCGTGCATGCGTATGGTATTTACATTAGGACTCGGAAATAAGCTGTGAATATTAATGAAAACTTTTTATATAACAAACAAAATGCGTGTAAAAAATCAGAATTTGCAAACGGATATGAAACATTTGTACTTAGTATTCCTTCCTTTTAGTTTGCATACTAATTGTTAAGTTTAATAAGCCTTAAAACATCTGCTTTTGTTTTTTTTTTTACCTTTAGATCTAGACCGAACATCAGTTTTTTCTCATTGAGATTTTTAATTAAATGCGGTGGTCTTTTTGGTTCTTTCGCAGTTAATTTTGCTGTGAAAATGTATCACAAATTATGTAACATATAACACTAAGAATATAAGAAATTATTTTGAAGAATTTCACTTGATGAAACATAATATACGGTTATGTGCGACTTATAATGTGTCTTACATAAACTCACAACATTATTGTTACAAAAGTAATGTTACTTTATATGCTCCGGTAAACAAAAATAAATACATTTTTAGACATACGCACATGAAACATATACATAATTTTATTAACGTGTCGAACATTGACCCAGACAGCAAGAATTACGTAGAGTCGTAGTGTGAATGAGTTTTGAAAAACAAACATGTCCGGAGACGACGTTCAACTTTCACCGAGTAGAAAGTGACCGAACCACCCGCGATACACGCCGCTCGACTGCAGCCGACCTTCATGTAGTTCTCCCACATCATATTGGCGTAAGAAATTTTGTTATTACTTTTTTTTCCAAACTTACCTATGGAAATGCTTGAGCCTAGCCTCGATTATAGGTACTTTGGTCTTATTCAATTTTAAGACTTACTTTTAATTAAACGCGACAGAATAAAATTTAACTTTTACGTAGAAATATATTTAGTGTAATACTGACTGTAGTAAATATTTTCATTTTAAAACATCCATATTTCAGGATCAATTTCTATTTAAACAGTATTTTTAGTTAAAGTAAATTTCGAGCCAATACATAGAGTACGACTATATCCGAGATCAACGTACTAACTACGTATAGGTTCTAGAATATTCTATGAAAAGAAATTTATATTTACTGATTCCGGATACACAAAACAATATTAGTAAATCTTTCGCAATTAGCTGATATAACGTTGTCCTCAAATAAATATATGATTTCCTCCTTTTTTAGATTATGTCTTTAATTTTTATTTAAAGAAATATTTATAAATGACATTAATAATTTATTAAATAAATGAATAATGATTGGTTTCTTTTTTTATGTCCTACAATTTCCTCCATTTCAATAGACCAACAATTCGAAATTTTTTGCAAATCTCTATTTAAGTAAGACATGATGTTAATTATGTGTACACTAAATGTGTACATTTTACCCTTAACCTAGTCCTTAGTTAATAAAAGTAGGCATCACAAGCGATTGACATTGAATTCTACATAACCGCGCGTGTCTATCGTCTGTTTCTTACAACTCTATAGTGAGTGATAGAGACAAATGATCGATAGTGTTCCTTTCTAGTCGACAGTGCGGTGTCATTTCACATTTCTCTGAGTACGAGGCATTGGTTGTATGGTATCGGTGCCGCTGTAAGGCCGTTGAATACGTTTAGGGCCACTTGTCGTGATTTCTAATCATTGTAATTTAATCGAACGTCAACTTTCGGACCGGTGTGACCGCGACGCGATTATTATCGGGAGTTTTGTAGCTATTTTATAAAGAAGTTTCTTATAACAGGTGAGTTTATTTTTATTATACCATTTGAAATATTTATTTGTATGTAAACTGGCATTGTGTATGCTGCAAATATTGTGTAATATATCAAGCGAATTGCGTAGTGGAAAAGATTTCAACGCGTTTGATTTTCATTTTCAGTTGTAATACAAATAATGTAAAATGTCTTTGTAAGAGGCTTTGATTAAATGAGTAAAAGGAAATTTATAAATTTTTTGAAACAATTTTAATACAAACAAATATTTCTTTCGAAAATAATATAATTCATACTAATGTTATAAATGCGAAAGTTTGGATGAATGGATGGATGTTTGTTAGAATTTGTAGCCTAAACGGATTTCGATGAAATTTGGTATAGATATAGAGGATAGTCTGGAATAATACATAGGCTACTCACTTTTGTTTTATATTCCACGCGGAAGTAGTTGTGGACGAAAGCTAATAAAATTTTAAAGTTAACCAAAATAGTGTTAATCATGTTACTACAAATAATCTTATGAAACTATCTCATTTAAGTAATACCGTATTTTAATTTACTTTAACATGTGATAACATATTTTACTTTGCTATTTGCTTAATTTTCATACTAAAAAGACCAAGAAGTGAATAACATACTAATATTAAATTCTCTTTTTTACAGGCAGGGAGTAGTCCTTCAAGATGAAGCTCTCCCTGGTATTTGAGCTTCTATTGATATTTGTTCTTTTGGCGTTTGCGGCCTCAAAACAAATTGGTAAGTTTATTTGAGTATCCAATTCAACTTAAATACTTAAAGGCTCCCTTATTGACTATTTATTCTGTCTATCGCAGTAAGTTTAAGAATTTATAAATCATCAATAATTTTTACGCTTTACTTGTTTCTTGCGTATATCGAATAGCAACTCTGTAATTCAAAAAAAATAATTTATTGTTATGTCGCGTGTACTGTAAAGTGAATCGAAAGTGATACCAATGAACTAGGAATTCATTAGACGGTCCTGGTAACTGTTTTAATTTAAACGACGATTAAAGAAACAAAAACATCGCTTATCACTTTTTCAATAGTACGAGCATTTTTGACTTAGATCAAGGCTTTTTGAATAAGTGTTCGATGATAGTGCGATCTCTTATATTCCCTCAAAAAAACAAAGATAGCTATATTGTGGCGGCAAAGTATATCATATTAATATTATAAATGCGACAGTTTAGATGGATGTATGTTTGTTAGATTTTGTAGACTAAACGACTCAACGAGAAGCGAGCCTACAATTTCCTCAAAGGCCGGCAACGCATCTGTAGTTCCTCTGGCGGTCGGATGTCCATGGGCGTCGTTGACCACCTATTTGTTCCCGACGCTCGTTTACCCCCTTCTCATATAAAAAAAAATCGATGAAATTTAGCATAGGTTTAGAGGATAGTCTGAAAGACAACATTGGCTACTCACTTTTTTAATTCTACGAGGACGGAGTTGCGGGCAAAAGCTAGTTTATTCATATTTTTTTTTGTGCAGGGAAAAAGAAGAATAGCAACAAGACCGGCGTCACGAATAAGAACAATGATATTAAAATAGAAGATAACAGCATCAATAAATATTGCAAGTGCTCTGAAGTTTATTGCAACTGTTGCAGAGATTTCCAGGTCCCGCTTGTTAATTTAAGCGGCGCAGGTAAAATCTGATTGACTGTCCCGAAAGGAAAAAACATTAAAAAATTGTATCATAGAATCCCATAAAACTACACATTAAGTACTATGTACAACTTTGACTAAATTATCGCACAACTGTTTTGTGGCGTTTTGATTCCTTTGTTTTTTTATGGGGAGGTGTGTACACTACTCGATTTTCAGTTGTGCAGTTGAATTGCATTAACAGTTGAATTGGCTGCGAAATTATCGACAATCAACAGTCACACAACAGTTGTGCGATAGTTTACTCAAAGGTGCACCCGCTCTTAGAATAGAGTAAACGACAATTGGTTAAACAACACATAAAGGCCTAAAAACTGTTTTTTTTTGTTGAAATTAGTTTATAACTGAGATTAATTTTAATTTCAGGATGTGCGACTTTAATGTATTTGAACGACGATAAGATGTCCGTCTCGTTGAGATTTGGAAGAAAAGTAATTGCAAATCGTACTTTATCCAGTAAGTAATTTTGTTTTTCCAAATAACAACCTCCATGACCTTCATTTCTAAATCACAAATTTAGTGAATTTGTACTTTTATGTCCTATTTAAGATTTGACCATTATTTTTATTATGTTTTAAATCCATGAACGTTTTGATTTCCAGGTCGCAAACCAAGTCCAGTTTGTATGCCTCTACCTGGAGGAATATCAAAATTCTGTGGACGAGTTTATAATATTGCTCGAACTGGTGAAGAATTCAGAGCATGTTTAGGTTTAGAACTTCAATCCAAGAGTACCGTAGAAGCAGCAGTCAGGGTATCCTGTTTTAAATTTGGCCCGCGTGGTGTAACGTCGGAACCGGCGGATCCATTACCGTTACTCCCCCAAGATGATAAAAACTCTGATGACGATGATGACGATGACGATGACGACGACGATGATGATGATGTTGATTTCGGACTCACAGGTGATGATGAATATGAAGAAGCCGACGATGACGACGACGATGGTGGTAAGTAGATAGTGGTTTCTTAAAATTATATAAAACTTAGGTTACAAATTATATAGAGCATAATAGTGACTGAATTGATTTAAAAAAATAGTATGCAAGCCGTAATTCTTACGCTTAATTATTTCTTATTTTTAGGTGATCTTGATGCTGTTAATGACGTGGAGAGTGCAGACTACACAGGATTCAGTATTCTAGGAGAAGATTTGTTAGGAGATCTCTTTGGCTCTGGTAGTAAAAAACCCAATAAAAACAAAAAGAAACAAGCTCCCATAGTACCATCTTCTACTACAACACGGCGACCAAGACCTACACGCCGCCCAATAAGAAGACCATCCTCTCGAGTAACAACTGTGAGACCTTCGGTAACGAGAACAACTACTGTTAGAATTCGTCCCATTTCTCGTCGAACCACGCGACGACCAACAAGACGACCAAGTGGACGTCCGTCAAGAAGACCACCAACTTCTGCCGAACCTACTTCGACTATTAGCTCAACAATTTCCACCACAACATTTTCACCGATAGTTTCTAATATTGTACCATTGAAAGATGACGAGCAAAAGCCAATGGCGGATTTAATAAACCAAGAAACTACTTTAGCAACTGAAAAAATTTCCACAATTCAGTTTCTAACTACACCAAAAACTGTAACCACATTTGATGACCCAAGTCTCGAAATGTCATTGGCACATATAACAGGTCAACTTTCTGTAATGCCTATAACTCCAGTTATTCCTCAGGAAGATAGCGAAACCAACAAAAAAACAACAAGTTATTCAGAAGTTCTTTACGAGAAAGTAGAAACAATAACTCCTAAAAACCCATCTACTGTGCCATTCCTCCCAACAGAACCAATTTCAGATGATATGATTCAAATAGTTCAGAACCTAGATTCACAGTCTGAAGAACTTGTACCTGAAAGAGAATCGAATTTGTCTGAACAAACCCGTGGTCATAAATACAAAATCGCCTATTCCGGGAATAACTACAAGGATCTAACATTACCAAAGAAGAAACACAGAGGAGCAGTTTTCCAATTAGCTGATTTAGATGTTCTAGATTTGACTAAAATTGGAGAAAGTGTTGGGCAACAACTGGGTATTTTCGGTAGACATAAAAGACAAAACAAAAATAAAGATATGAAACACGGTAAAGGTGAACAAAATGAAGATGACTACGATATCATCGGAGATTTATCGGCCTCTATGGGTTTCGCTGATCGTATGAATAATAAAAATAAAGAAAGTAGAAGACAAAATAAAATGATGCAAGGGGACTGGTCTAAGGCATGACGGATTAAGAGACTTTAATAGATCTAGTTAGATTGTAATTATTTATTTTCATTTAACTTATTTCATAAGAACTTTGTAAATAGATAAATTATTTAAATATTATTTATTTCTTGATAGTAATTAAAGCGTTGAAAATATTGCCTTTGATGTTAAAATGTAAACGGTAATTACAACATACCCATGTTTTTATTTTATTAAAAATGTTCAAAGCAAAACCCCTTTTTTACTTGTCTTCCGATATCGTTAACTGATGACATTAAATTTTTTATTTGCTAAACTTATCTTTGGTTACGGATAGTGGAGAATGAAAACCGTTAATCGTTCTTTAATCAGTGAAAAAAGCTATATGGTGAAAAACACATTCTTCAATATCATTTTAAAAAATTGCTACTTTAATAAAACTCTTTCTGGTATGGAAAAGAATCTGATCCTTGGTTTAAAAACTTAAAAAAAACCTAAAAGACTATATTTACATGTTACATGTAAAAAGACTGGAAGATAATAAAACCTTTAATATGTTATAAAACAAAATTTCGATGAACTACGTTTAAATTTTCCTTTAAAGTTGGTTTGAATACCCCTTAAACCCAATACCCTTAAATATTTATAACACATTCTATTTACAAAAGAGAAATTGACTTTGGTTTGTCCCGGACATTGCCTAATTCTTGTTATTATATAAAACAGAACCTAAACTGCAGTCCTTAAAGGATTGTAGTATTCAAATCTTAAGGTTTGTTTTAAAACGACCACTTTCACCTGTCAACGCATTAAAATTTAAAACTTGTTTGCGCTGTTCATCGATGTACAGCTAAAATAAGAATCAAACTTCTTACTGGTTAGCCGTTAAATAGTGGGAGGAGACTTGCTTTGCTAACAATTTCAACTGGAAAGTCGAGCGTAACTGTTGTTGTTTAATTACAATGAACTGAAGATAACATACCATGACTTCCAACACATTTAAGTTAGTGCTAACATTGTATTGCATCAACGTGTGTTTTGCTGGAATTGGTAAGAGAATGTAATATCTAAATAAACATTGTTTAATTCGTAATCGATTTATTATAGGTTAATTATTGCAGGCAATGTAATCACATCAAAGGATAGAGAATATGATGTGATTGACTTTAAAGTACCTAACGCTGTTTGGAAACAAGCATTACATCCAGTACCGATTTTAAAATCTCCAGTTACTATAGTTCTGCCTGTACATGTTCCCCAAGACTATGAAAACGACGAAGATGAGGTAGATGAGGAAGTTTCTAGTCCAATCGAACCGGTTACAACGATAGAAGATGATATAATAAATGAAGAAGTTATTCAAGAAGTAACTCAAAGCCCAGTAACTACTCTGGCTGCCATAACACCAATTCCCGTTGAAGAGAATGAAGTTTCTGATAACCCAGTGGAAGAAATTGAAGGTCAAGTTGTGAGATTTCCCTGTAATTGTGTAAAGAGACAATGCGGCTGCTGTACAGGATCAATTTTAGAGAGAGTAAGAATGAAAGCATGCGGAAATATAACTTTTGTGCCAGAAGATTTTATATTTGACGTAAGGTTAAGCGTTAATAACAATACAGTTGTGCGACGTAGAGTGTCAGGTAATTTATAAATAAGTATATGAAAGTAAGATTTTTTGACGAAGATTTTAGCTTATTTAAGTATTGTTGCATTATAAAATTCTTTGCAGCCAGTGATCCTCCACCAATTTGCTTCAATCCCAGGAGAGCACCCTTCGTCCGTGTTTGTGCAGAAATCTCTGACATACGTGTCCGAAATGGAAATACGTTTGCGTGTTTGGATATGAACGCGGATATCGCTGGATTTCCTGTTTATTCCGCTTCTTTTAGATGTTTTGGGTAAGACAAATTTATTATATACTCGTACTTTGGGTAAGACAAATTTATTATATACTAACTCAACATTAATTTTGAATTAATCAGAATAATCAAATTTTCAGTTTTGGGTCATCGGGTGTTCAAACAGGCTTGAAGCCTAAACCAGTATCTTCTGGGCCGAAACCAATAAGTCTTTTTGGTAGTGGGAGTGAAGATAGCGGAGGTGGGTTCTTGGAAAATGCCGCAGGAACTCTTCTAGGTGATGGCGATGGCGGAGGACTATTCGGTCGACCCGGTGGTGGACTATTTGGAGGAAGACCAAATAATAACGGACCTCTAGACGATATCGGTGATGCTATCGGAGAATTTTTCCAATAAACGCCTTATAGGAAAGTCAATTAACTTAATTCCAGAAATGTAGTCAACTTGTAAATATAAATCTATTTATTTTATTAAATTATTTCAACATAATACAAGTTTTCTTATTAATATCTCCCCAAATTCCATGAATTGAAGAATGTTGCGTGCATTAAAGGGTTTTCCATTACAAGAACGTCTTACATCACTATGTAAGGCTATAAAAAGGAGCGACTGTGGTAAACACAACAAGATTTGTTGTATTTACTTCAGTCTCCTGCTCGCCGCCATTGACTGCGGCGCTTTGAAGTTTAAAGTTTGATTTAATAACGCTTAAGTAGAAACAAAAACAATAAATAAATGTGAAAGTGATAACATAGTAAAGATATGATTTTCGAACCGGTTCGAATCTGTTAAAGCGAATTGGAGTGTCTGTATTCACGCGACCGGCGCAAGCGCAGCTTCGTGCTAAAATAAGCTTTCAATATGAAGCTTATTGTGTTTTTATTTGTCACTTGCTTTCTTTTTGTATCTGATGGAAACGAAATTGGTAAGTTTTTTTTAATGCTGATGTCACTATTTTTACTGGCAATTTTTATAACAAGTAATAATAATTTCAGGATATAAAATAAAAAATGAAACGTATTCAAATAATTTACAAGGAATAGAAGTACCAGATAGTGCGTTGATTTTGTTAAATCGATTTAAATTAAGAACCTCCATAGATTATTCTAGACAGAACCAAGACACAACGGAACAAACTACACCTATATCTAGACCATGTTCTTGTTCGTTGGGAGTCTGTAAATGTTGTACAGGACCTATTCTAGATTATTTTAAACAAAAAGCATGTATGAAGATAACTTATCATCCGGGAGATTTCGCATTTGATGTGGCTATGTCAATGAATGATAGAGTACTATACGAAAATTCCATGTCAGGTATGTTTCTTTTTAATTTTCATTAAAATTTTTAGATTTTTTTTATTATCATAGTAATTTTCTTTTTAGGAAAAAACCCAAGACCAATGTGTATAAGTCCACCAAGAATGCCTAACCTTAAAGTATGCGCACGGTTGTATAACATCTTTTTCCCCGGAAGGAACTTTCATTTTTGTTTGGCAATGAATGGACGGTGGAGGTCTTTGGAACTGTTTAATGTTGCGTTTGACTGTTTACGGTATGGATAAATCTAGAATTTCTACTACAATAAACTACTTTCCTACAGAGCGTGTATTTAAAAATAATTTTTGTTTTGTATTAGGATGGGTGCTAATGGTTTAGCAATGTTAAAACCCGATGAAGGCGGTGGACTAACAATACCAAACCCACATGGCGGCGTTGATGCTGTCATTGACGCCGGAGAGGACGACATTGAAGAATACGACGAGAACCTCGTGCGGTCATTGCTTGATACTTTAGACGATTTTTAGCCATTTTCTGACAATTTTAGTCCCCAATTGGATTCATGAAATTAGTTAAGATAATTAAGTTATTTATTGTATAGATTTTACCGTTGCGACTGTTATTTATTATTTTTGATGGTCTCTTACTTTCTTTTGTAATAAAGTAATTTTTAAAGTTGCTAAGTTTTTCATTGATCTATGAGGTAAAAGCTATTATCGTGGATATGTAGATGGGTAATTAATGATGCTTAGCTGATATTCGCCGGTGCTATACGGGAGTTTCTCTAGAAAGTACCGCAAGCGAGTATCGTTCGCACGACATATCTAGCATACGAATTGTTCAAGCCGAACCTTTTAAGAGTTTAGTGTTAACGTAAGTACAAACGTGCTGTCATTTGTATGTTGTCCCTTGTGACGGCAACAATTGAATATTTATTTACAATATTACAATAGAAATGAAAACAAAAGTGTTACAAGTGATTTTTCATTTGATGTTATGCGCAACGGTTATTCCAGGTGAGTATGTTACTGCTAAAACATAGCTAACTTTGTTAATACTGATACTTATTAAAGTGTAAATTGCTGGGGTTCTCTTTCTTTTGGAGTAATCTTTAAAAAATCCAAAATACGCGCTAGCCGTGGACTTGTAAAAAACGTAGCCCCCCTACTACTACTACTACTACTATTAATATATAATCTGTTGATGATGAGTTGAGATCAGACGCTTCATTTTAATCATAATAAAAAACTTGTCTTTTAAAGATATAATTATTAGGGTCTCGCATAAAAAATTCTTTAAAGCGCAGGCTTGAATGTGTTGAATTGAATTAGATATTATCAGACTATATTTATTGAAAAACCTTAAACATTTCAGGAAGCACATATAATGAAAATGCTGTTCAGATTTTCAAAAGAAGCGTTGCTATGGATGTTACAGATTTTTCAGTGTATTACGATATCCACACTAACGAGGTAAGATTTTAGTTATAATATGAATACTTTGAAATAAATAGCGGTAAAAGTATGAAATCAAAAATCGTATACTTTGTTACAGACCATACGAAAGATGATGCCCAGACCATGGTACAGGCCTGGTTGGCGACTGAGACTTCCTTTTACCGGTGGACCCTGTGAATGCGAAAGTTACAAATGTACTTGCTGCACTGGCATACGAATAGAAGCATTTGGTTTCGACAGGCGAAGTAAGTAATCATTGAAAACATACGAACTTTAAGGCGTTTTTTGTTATAAAAGACGAAATTTCATATTGATGCGAAAATTACGGATAGAAAGAGCTAAAACATAATAATTTTCTTCTCTAATAAAAACATGAGATTAAAACCTTTGTTTTAGTAAAAGTTGCTTCGTACAATCTTGTAATTTTGTTTACTTATTATTTCAGCTTGTGCAATTCTAAAGTTTGAACCGGAAGAAGCAATTATAAACTTGGAAGTCAAAATGAGCAACAACAGTGTTTTGGTACAAATGTTTTCAGGTAAAATATTTTTCATGTTGTAACTATACCTTCTCAATTTCATTATTCCAGTTTTAAACGTACTTAATTGATAACAAAAAAAATATCTTATTATTTGCAGCCAGTAACCCGCCACCTTTCTGCGTGCCTATTCCGGTGCCGTATTTGCCTCCCGGACTTGTTGACATGTGTATCAGGTTGTTCGATGTCTCGATAATTCAGCAGAGATTACATGTCTGTATGGATATGGATACCAGGATCGACATGGCACCAGTTTTGGTTAGTTTTGTATGCGTTTTCTTTTCAAATATGATTTGTTTGTTACAACTTGGTTATGAACATAAGTTATCAAGTGGAAAATGAATAAAAATATGACCATTAATTATCACGAGCTTATGTTTTTGTTTCAGATTTTACATTTTGATTGCATGGATATGGGTCTAGATGGTGTAAGTCTTTCAAAGCCTGGCGGAGGCGGCAGTAATCCAGCAAACGCCGCAACTAATGGAGATACAATGGAGTCAATGGAACCAACACAAGTCAACGGTGATGTTTATGATCCTGTTACAGAGGATCCCAATATCGAAACAACACCTCCACCCATGTTCAAACACAGTATTAGATATATATAAAAATTTTAGACTAAAATCATATTGTTTGATTTAGTTAATTCCCCAACTTTGACCTAATATTTTCTCCAGCAATCAATAGTTGAAGCCCAAGTGGTGGTTAAAATAGATATGACCAAAAGGTATAAATAATTAATAGAATCTGTGAAATACAAATATATATAGTCTACGTTTTGAAAGCAATCTTTAGCAGAAAAGGTTGTTGTTTGTCGATGATTTGCCGAATGCTTGTCATCTGTCAATGTCAAAGAGGATGAAAAGCGGGTGTTTTTATTGTGGCAAATTATTTTTTTTACATTTGTGATTAAATTAAATGGTAAATTATTTTTATATTTCCCTTGCTACCTTTGATTTACCTCTCCAACTTTAATATGGCAGATAGTGATTATTTTTATGATGGTGATGGGTTAGTAAAGATCATCATGTACACATTTCTTTATACCCGTATTTATTAATTAACGTTCTTAAATTTATCTAATTGTAACTAATAAAAGTATTCTGCTAAGCTGTGTATAAATAGTGCTTGTTTGATTCATTTAAATAAATGTTTAAGTATGCATTCTAGGTATGTAATTATGTTTGTTACCTTTACTATATTAATATTATGTAAATCATCGAATATATAATCGTTATTGTATATAATATCATTAATCACTACTTTGCACTTTTGTAAAAAGAATGCAGGGAATTCGAAAAATCAATTAATATAGTAAAATATTGATGAAATTTATCCCTTGTTATTGTAATGGTTTAATTACTTCTGATTCTTTTGAATAAAACAGGCAAGTTAAAAATTCTAACTAAAATTTTATTATTAACATATTTATTAATATTATTTTTCTACTTCATATTTAAAAACTGTTTGTTATATATTGTATGCTTGTTGGTATGATATTACATTATTGTTTTTATTATGTTTTAAAATGTTTGACAGGGTCATGGATTCATTACCAGTCTCACCTGAAGTCACCTACAATTGGGTAGACATAACTTCAGATTTCTTTAAACATATTGAAGGTATTGATTGCAAAATAACTGTCTAAAATATTATTAATGCTATTGTTTTCCTATTATGTATTTGTCTTTTTTAATCATTTTCATATTTCAGATCTTAAATTGGGAGAATTACTCCATGATGGTCATCTCTTTGGTTTATTTGAAGCCATGTCAGCTATTGAGATGATGGATCCTAAGATGGATGCAGGAATGCTTTGCAATCGGGGGAATCCAAAACCACTGAATTTTCCACAGGCTGTTGCTGTATGTATTTATTTATAGTACAAAAATACTTGTTGAAAACATTTATACACTTAAAACTGGTTTTATAGATTTTTTTACTTTACATGTCTTCTTTTAATATCAAAGACCTACTTTAATTTCTTATTATCTCTTTAATATTACAAGTGCAGAATTAAAGATATTTTTAGAAGGAATCTTTATAACAGATCAACAGATTGCTATTAAATTAAGGACAGATGTAGAACAGTCTACAGGAAAATATAGGCATTTAACTAAGTTGCTGTTTTAATTTGCTGTCAGTGTTAGTCTCTAGCAATAGTTAGTCAATAATCTTTTTTTTCGTACCTTTTATAATTTCCTGTGTATATTTTGATGTGGCATAATTAATCTAGTATTGCATATTTTCAGAGTGGAAAACTAAAAATTGATGACTTAGAACCTAGTGAGTTAATAGGTATTATTGATGCTACGATGGCCTGCATCGTCTCTTGGCTGGAAGGACATTCACTAGCACAGACGGTGTTCACCAATCTCTATCTACATCAGCCACATTCTATTATAAATAAAACATTGAAAGCATACTGCATCGCTGTCTACAAGCTGTTAGACTGTATACGAGATTGTATTACCAAGTAAGTGTATATAAACGAGAATAAAAAAATCCTAATTTAGGGTCCTTTATGTTTTTAATAGCTGTTGCCCGCGACTTCATCCATGTGGAATTATAAAAATTTGTTTTATTGTTTACATGTGTTAAAATATGAATTGCAAATGTCAAAATGACATGACATGATGATAAAGCATTGCAACCTTGCTTCCTTGATGTTAGCAGCAACTTATGGTCTCTTTCCCTCATTAATGATTTTATACAAAATATTTAGCCCCTAAGTATTTCTAGGCTACATATTTTCACGCCATTAATGCGTGACGTAAGTGTAGGGCTTTTTATTAAAGAAAGAATTATTCAAAAATATCCCGTAATTGCTGACTTCTTACGCCACAAAGTAGTGTGTGTTTACGCTTTATTACATTAGTATAGATAGTATAGATTACATCTGCTTCTGTACGTAAGAAGTTTTTTCCGAATGCAACATGTCTGAAAATGCGAATATCTGGCGGTCACTTCGCTACTTGTTATTAGTATACTAATTATCAAATGAATTCTTTATAGAAGGAAGGTTTGTATTTTTGTGTATATTGAAATAACTCAAAAGATACTGGGCATATTTCACCATTAAAAAAAACCATTCAAAATTTTTTTACTATTAAAAAGCTACATTATCAGTTAGTAATAAAGGATATTATTTTTAGCAGCTAGTATAAAATCCTAATTATTTTCAGAGCGCAAGTATTTGAAGAGGAAGACTTCCTACCGATGGGTTACGGCTATCGTCTTGGCTCTAATCCTCAAATGGGCAGCGCATATGATGCTAGTCTCGAAGTCAGTGAACAAAAATGTATTGCAATGCTGAGAGAGCAAGAGGAAGATCTGAATAAGAAATCACGGAGTTTTGATGATGATGATGTAAGTAGAAAACAAAACAAAATGTAATACATGTTTCAATTTATTATAATAACAATATTTAACCAGACTCAAAATTTTTTCAGTATAAACTTTCATTGTAACTCACAGGAGAACTTAAAATTTCACGCTTGTACCCTAATATTTGGTGTTATATGTTTTTTTATTTAACAACTGTTATATATTTTTAGGCAAATAATCTGTGGCCGGCTTTGGCGGCTAGAATTCGCTTCACTAGAATGATCTATCAAGCTCTTCTAGTGATAACAAAACGAGATTCCCAGTCTGGGGCAGATTGCGTTGCCCTACTTAATGGGTGCTCCGAAATGATGAAAATCATTATTAAAACAGCGGGGAAAGGAACACAGCCTGTGGAGAATTGTAAGTGGAAATATTAATATTACAGTATACAGAAATAAGATCCAATGCAATACTTAGTTGTTATTTTAATGAAGTAACTATCTTAAAAATTACTAACTGAGCTTAAAAGTTTAGACTATGTTTGTATTTTTCATATAATCTGTTCTCTTCAGTACATTTTACAAATTATATTTAAAAACAATAAGATGTATAAAATACAGCACTGGTTGCGGAATCTAAAAACTCAAGCAACCAGTGGTTGGTACCATTCTTTGGACGCTAGTTGTTGCTCACGACTCCGTCTGCGTGGAATTAAAAAAAAAACAAAAGTGATTAGTCTCTGTGTTCTTCTATACTATCCTCTACGTCTGTGCTAAATTTCATCAAGATCCGTTCAGTTGTTTCGCATTTTTAACATTAAGGGCCCCTCCAAATTGTAAACTGTCAGATAACAATCTAACATGTAAAATATGTGATGTAAATATCAGATTTTGTTCCCTTATCTGACAGTAACATTTTTAAGCTATCTGAGGCTATCGGCCAGTGGTGAGGCAGGCCCTCTTAAATTTAAAAAATAATGTATTTATCTGGTAGCGGATTCTCCTAATCCTATGGGTTTCGAGCCGATGATAAACCAGCGGCTGTTGCCGCCGACGTTCCCGCGCTACACGCGCATCAAGCCGCGCGCCGCCGCGCTGCTCTACTTCGACGACCTCGTCGCACGCCTGCGCCACGCCTGGAAGATCACCTCCTGCACCAACTTTCATACTGCACTCGTATGTATACTTTATTTTTTGTTTTACTAAGCTGCTCCCATGCGGCTTCATCCGCAAGGCATTAAAAAAAACTGAGTAAAACTGAGATTCGTTCAGCAGTTTAGTTTTTATACTAATGGTATAATTACGAAAGTTTATATGGATGGATGTTTGTTAGAGTTTATGGTCTAAACTGCTGAACGAATCTCAGTTTTACTCAGTTTTTTTTTATTCTAGTTAAAGAAAAGAAAGCTAGCAATCTAGCTTTCACCCGCGACTCCTTCCGCGTGGAATAATAAAAACAAAAGTGAGTGAGTGGCCTATGTGTTCTTCCAGACTATCCTCTACATCTATACCAAATTTCATCGAAATCCGTTCAGCCGTTTAGGCTACAAACATCCATTCATCTAAACTTTCGTATTTACAATATTAGTATGATTGAAATGAAAATTCGATAAAAAGTACACGGAGGGATTCGAACCCAAGACCTGTAGATTACAAGTCAAGTGCTTAAACCCCTTAGCCACCGACGCTCGAAACTTTAATATTAGTACGATAAGACTTTAGTCTTTGTGTCGTATCGTAATTGCAATGTTCCGATATTTGCAGGATTTCTTCATGGAGTTCAGTCGACAGCGGTCGTGCATCCTGTCGCGGTCCGCGCTGCAGCTGCTGTACCTGAGCCCGTCGCCCGCCACCTCCCTCAGCGTGGCCGCCACCGCGCCGCCGCGCCCGCATCCCTTCGTCGAGATACTGCGCGAGTCCATACGCAGCTTCGTCAACCCCCCCGCACTCGCCCTCAAGTCACCCGCTGGGACCACCCCTCAGGTATATATAATTTAGGTCCCCCTCTCCTTAAGGAGGCGTACTTTTAGTCCCTTTTCCTTACCACCCTTTTTTAAGAAGAGAGAATGGGCAGGAAAAGTGGATTTGACCGCAGAGACGCATAGGAAGAATGTCTATGAGTAGCGGTTACTTCGCCATTTTGGCGTATTCAGGTGGCCGCTTGCTCGTTTGCCTTACTATAAAAAATACCATGTCTGTACATTTTATCCTTATATATAAACTAATTTTATGAAAAATTTCCAATCAAAAGCATTGTTTATTTTCCTTATTTTTATTGGAAGGAAATACATCTTGAAATCATAATTAATATGGGCAATCAAGATGTCAAGGTGTAACTGACCCGTAGGTATTCAGGTAATTCATGTGGCATTTATCACTTTATGATAAAAAAATGGTTCCAGGGTCGTGAGTTGGTAGAGAAGTTTCTGGTGCGGTGCGTGCGACCGTTTGCGGTGTTGCTGCAGGTGTGCGGACACAACCGCGCGCGCCAGCGGGACAAGCTGGCGCTCCTGCTGGACGAGTTCGCCGCGCTGCAGGAAGAGGTGACACACAACACAAAAATCGGTTATAATAGTGTAGATTTTTATTTGGAACGACTTCAATACCCCTGGTTGTATACTTACAAGTTGGTGTTACAAGTTATTATAAGTCTTTATTTAATTTAATTATGTATGTTTTTCGTTAATGGTGCTTTAAAACAAATAGCCTTTCATCCATCGTTATTTACTGTTAGGAATAAAATTAGTACCGTGCTATAGAATTGGCACAACTCTAGATTATCGGCATAAACGTCACGTCCCTGGCTGTCAATGTCACTAGAAGTATGGATAGATTTGGCGCGCAATCTGGGTCTGGACGAGAAGTGTTAAAGCGACAGTATCAATTAAATAAGTTGTCTAAAATTACTTATATAACATTTGTACATATCTAATGCAGGCGGAGAGCGTGGACGCGCTGCTGGTGGGGGGCGCGGGCGCGGGCGCGGGGGCGGTGGCGGGCGCGGGCGCGGGGCGCTCCTGCCTCGGCACGTGGCTGCTGTACCACGTGCTGCGCGTCATGATCGCCTACCTGCTGGCCGGCCTCGAGCTGGAGCTCTACAGCGTGCACGAGTACCACTACATATTCTGGTATACACTCGATAGATACCAAACTGAACTGTTCCATGAATGAATGAATGAATGAATGATAATTAATTGCCACAAAAAAGAAATTACATAAAAGGCCTTATTCTAATGTTATAATGTTTCGAATAGATTCAATGATTATTATTAACTAGCTTTCGCCCGCGACTCCGTCCGCGTGGATTTAAAATAAAAACAAAATTACGTAGCCTATGTGTTCTTCCAGACTATCCTCTACATCCATGCCAAATTTCATCGAGATTTGTTCAGCCGTTTAGGCTACAAACTCTAACAAACATCTATCCATCTAAACTTTCGCATATATAATATTAGTAAGAAGTAAGATTGTGTAAGGCATTTTTTTGTTTTGTTTTATGGACCATTCTTTATTTTTTAGGTTCCTTTTGCTGTATTTTTTTGTTAATTCTAATGTAAAAACATTACAACAATAGATATGTGTAAGGTACTTGTACGAGTTCCTGTACGGGTGGCTGGTGTCGGCGCTGGGGCGCGCGGCGGCGCTGGCGGGCGAGGCGCGGCGCGACTGCAAGCGGGGCGCGCGCAAGCACAAGAAGCGGGCACGGCACGCGCGCGAGGGCCTCATGTGCCAGGTGCTGCAGAATATGTGCGGAGGCTACTATAAGGTTACTGTTAGCTTTTTAACTACTTTGACGTATTCTGTATTCTGGAAGATTATTAGTCTGTGCTATAAATCAATACCATTTGTCATAATTTAAAATAACGATATAAGCTTTGTAATTGGGATCCAAAACATAATTTAAAATATTTATGACATGGTTTTAAAATGTCGTAATTGTGCTTGTTATGTTAATAATCGGATAGTAGTCAAATGTCAAAGTCGGATAGTAGTCAAATGTAAGGGTGTTGCATTAGCTCGACGACACGACGGCCATATTGGTAAGGTATTCTGTGCAAATTGAAAGAAAACATAAGAGGTAATGAAGACTATATTTTATTAAAGCATAACATGTCTGTGACGCCCATATTACTAAGCAATATTAATTTAAAAAAAAAAACTTTCTAGAGACATTATACGATATCTATACTAATATTATGAAGAGAAAAATTTTGTATTTTTGTATGAATTGAAATAAGTCAAAAACTACCGGGTTGATTTTAAAAATTCTATCACCGTTAGAAAGGTAATTTATATGTGAGTAACATAGGCTATTTTTTTAATTTCGCGCGGGCGGAGTTGCGGGCTAAAGCTAGTTAATTATAAAACACGGTTTAACTCACATGAAAATTTTCGGTGTAGGCACCAGCCAGTTTTGAACCCGTCGGGGTCCTCCATCTATACCGAATTTTTCACGTGAGTTAAGCCGTGTTTTATAATTAACTAGCTTATCTCATTATAAAAAGTTATAATATTTGAGTTATGTAATATCTGTCGATTTGTCTGTGTGTTTGTGTCCGCTAATCTCAGAAACGGTTCACCCGATTAAAATGAAGCTTTTACTAAATTATCGTGATTCGATTCACTTACATTTTACTGTTTGTTAAATATGCTTATGTGAAATATCAGATTTTGACCAATATAAATTGGCATTAGATTTGTTCGTTCCATCGTTTACAGTGGAGTTCAGCTCAATTGGCCAATATATAGAGACCAAACACTTTGTTGTTGACATCTGTCATCTGAGCGGACATGGAAATGCTACTCACTGACGCCACAGAAGCCTGCGAAAATGGCGGCGTTTAAGTGGCACGAAAATAATTGTGATTTTATTAATTATTTTTTAATTAAATGGCTACTTTCTTTGAGGTGTTATATTTTTTTCTAGACATGTTATAGCTAAAGAATCGATTAAAAAAATGCATGCATATTGGCAGTCAGTGTTTTGAGGTGCGTATGAAGACATGCGAGTACATGTGCAGGCGCTGGTGGCGTTCAAGCTGCAAGGCAAGGTGCGGCAGCCGCGCTGCGCCTTCGACAGCGAGGCGGTGCGCTACAAGCACCGCTTCGCGCCGCTGGCCGTGCTCACGCCGCCGCAGGTGCACTACCACGAGTTCTGCGAGATGACGCAGCCGCTCAAGTCAGTCACGCATTTATGTTTTTTTTATTATATATAAACCAGCGCTTGACCACTATCCCACCTATACCAAAGTAAAGATGTGATCGAAGGTACGCGCTAGTTCAGTAAGTACCCATTCACACTGCTCATGAAGGCACCCACGTGCCAAGTGCAGACATATGCGTCTCAAATAAGGGCCTCCCACCACTGATAGAGGCTCAGATAACAAAAATGACGTCACTGCCCGATGGGGGAACAAAATCCGATATTTCCGTCACATATTTTACACGTTGGATTGTTATAAGACAATTTACAATTTGGTGGGACAGGCCCTTAATAATGTAAAAATTCACTACAATTAAGGCTGTTAAGGCTGAAATTTTAAGTAGCCAATTGGCTGAGAATTTAAGTAACCATAGCAACCATTGATTGCTATTGGGTCGTTTTTGTCCCTTTCTTACATTTTTTTTATCTATTTACTTGCCTGTATGTTAGTCTGAAAATGGCCTAAAGCGTGTCGTTAGTGTAATAGTTTTATTTAAAAAAAAAGCAAGAAATTAAATCTATACCAATATTAAAAGGATAAAAAATTTGTATTTTGTATGTATTCAAATAACTCAAAAACTGCTTGGCCGATTTTTCACCATTAAAAAGCAACGTTATCAGTGAGTAACTTAGGCTATAATTTTTATTTTAATTTTAAATTTCACGCGAGAGAAGTCGCGGGCGAAAGCTACTGTTTAATAAATGTGTAATACATATTTAGTTAGACGTAGCATTTATTTCAGTGCTTTATTAATATATCCTTTATGCAATTGTTATAGATACGAAAATCCCGTGATCCTGTATTTAGGCGGCTGCAAACATTTCCAACAAGCGCGGACTGTTCTAGAATCTATAACAACACCAGATCAAGAGGTTAGTTAAAATCGATATCAAGTATGTTAAAATTTACTAAAAACCATTAAATTATTATTCCTTTATTGCAGGTAACAGATCTGCTGAAAGTGGCCAAAACTAATTTTGTAGTTTTAAAACTATTGGCTGGCGGACACAAGCGCGACTCCACCGCGCCGCCGGAGTTCGACTTCTCCGTACATAGACATTTCCCCATCATAAAACTAGTCTAAATATATTTAAATCACTTTTTAATATTATGTCTTGTATGAATTTCTAAAAAAAATTCAATATTTCTCTTAAATGTATCATTAATAGTAAATAAGTAAATATTTCTATCGGCTTATCAAATTTCACATTCGATTTTTCACACTTTTTATGAATTATGATTTTTTAACGTATTTTTTTGCTTGTTCGTAATTAAATATATTATTTTTATCACAGATAATAAATACTATGCTAGTCGTCAAAATCGACAAAATCACTCGTGTTTATAATCTACAGTGAAAATTAGAAAACTATTCGATTTTATTATGAACTATATAAAACTTGATGTATTGTGTTTAGTGAATAATTAAAACATTTAACATTTAAAAAAACAATCGTAATATGTAAATAAAATTAAAACGACATTTTTGTTTTTTTATACTCCATTCCTTAAAAAGAAGATAACGTTTAATACAATATTCGGAGCCAAGATATTTGAAAACAATCTTACTTCTTACTAATATTATAAATGCCAAAATTTAGATGGATGGATTTTATTAGACTTTGTAGCCTAAACTGATGAACGGATCTCGATGGTATTTGGCATAGATATAGAGAATATTCTGGAAGAACACATAAACTACTTACTTTTTTTTAGGCTACGTGTATGGAATCGCGGGCAAAAGCTGGTGATACATATCTTTGCTCTTTCGAAGAAAATAAGTGAGATGACATTTTGTATTTAAACAGCTATCTTTGAAATGGAAACCCATAGTTAAAAACTAGGCTAATTTTCGCTACCATGAGTTTAGCAATATTAATCTTAAAAAATAAAAGAAACACCAAAAGTACATTAATATTTGTATATTTTAAATTTGTTATAAATCTTCATAAGCATTATTAAACAGAAATAACTTTTGAGTTTTGATAATTTCATTGGACAATTTGTGGATATAACAAATATATAAGTTTACGTTTTATTTTGTGATTAATTGTTCGAAATTCATTCTTCTTCGTCGTCGTCTGCGTCGGACACGTCCGTGGGGCAGTCGTGTTCGTACGTTTTGACTTTTAAGAAATCGCACGCCTGCGGTCCTGAAATAAGGTAACACTACATAGAAATACAGTCATGAAGCAGTAGTATTTAAGGGTGTCTACGTAATCGTACGTATTCTCGATATAAAAAGAAACATTTGAGTACTGGATGTTCGAATGAAAATGGCATACTAAAACCAAATTTGCGAGAAAGCATTATTGAGCATAAAATGAACAAATTTCAATCTAAGACCTGCGATTAAAATTAAAGGTAAGGATGAAAGTTAATTCCAAAGGTTTCCTAAGACTACTTTTTATGAAATTGACCTATTTTTTTTGGAGTTTCCGACACACTTCACTTCCATCTGTAAGGTTAGGAAAGAGGAATTTCAATATGTGCTAGCACATCTTACGCTTGTAGTTCCATTTATTATAACAAATAAGATTTTTTTGCTTACAGTTCATACATATGAAGTAAAACTTAGCTATTCAATGTATGCCTTATTATCCATACACACAATGTCAATTAATCGTAAATTTACATAAACATTTGCAATTAGATTTACTTCAGCAAAAAGAGATAATTTATTCCTACAGCAATTACGGGCATTAATTATTTTTTTTTATTTGTAATATGAATGCATAACATTACTGTTACCATCTGAGTATTATAAAAACACTTATTTAATATTTATGTGCGAAGAATTTCAATTACTTATATAAATAGGCAAGGTTCACTTATATTCCATTGCTTTAGTGCGCACTCAGAGTAACTAAAGAAAGGCATCAATCTAAATTTATTATGACAAATGTATAAGCGATTGTATAAATAAATTTAAATCGTCTCTGAGTGCGGTGCTCAGAAATTGAGATCGGTGTGTTGTCCATCGACACCACGTAACGAATATTTTCTCGTAAATTTTCGTGTTAGGTTACAGTTCAATACATTAAGATACGAGTATAGCCATCTTTGTTAGAGGACCAATGATATAGCTTGATTATAAAAATTTCACATTTATATACCTTCAGTATAAACAACGCTGGTACCGAAGTCCTGTATGGGTGTGGGAGTTATAGGACGGTCGACACCAGATGGCCCTGCTTCCGATTCGTCCTCGTCGTCGCTTAAAATTATCTCCTCCTCCTCGCAGTCTTCTATCTAAAAATAGAATATACGTTAAATACAATAGGTCTTATCTTATAGATTTTATAGATAAAAATAAAGCAAACGATCAAGCTTTAAAAAACAAATTTTATTTTATCTTAATGTAAAATATAGATTTAATTCCTAAATTATTAGTATGAGTCAAGTTGTGGTGTTAATTTATTCGCGTATGACACTGCGATTGTTATCTATACAAAATATTAAAGGTCAACGTTTCGTGGGAACAGTGCTTTTTAATAATACGTAACTTCACACATAATCTTAAACTTAGTTTCTACGGATAGGATACTTGAAAAGGGAATCTATGGAAAGGACAGTTTTCTATTAAGATTTAAAGGGCGTGTAAAAGAAAACGAATGGCACTTAGTTGGAACAGAAGCCAATAGTTTAAGTTCAATCAAAACATACCTGAATTTCAAACGATTGCTGTTTGTTTCTAAACTCTTGTAATGCAGAATTCATATTCTCTTTGTATGTAGAATATTTATAAGAACTTGGCGAGGGAGTTTCGTCTTCAACTTTACCCTCATTCACTTGATACCCCAGTTCAAAGGTCAGCGCTATGTTTGGATTGTTCGCTAGTCGCCGTCGACGGAGCTGGCATGCTGAGGTTTCTTCCATGTTTAATCTATGACAGGAACCAAATTATTGTGAATAATCTTTGATGTAGGTATCAAAGTATAAAGGTTGTTTATGACTGAGAACGGGATTCGTGGACTGGACTTCTTAATTCACATCAGTTAGATTCATTTGCAAGGTCACAAAAGGGAATTATCAGTACCAAAGAGACAGGAGTTAAATTTGAGTCTCACTTGTAAATAGACAATCGGTAGTTACTGGTATACTTTGATATTATTACGCGTTTAGTACGCGATGAACAACCAGACATCAAATTCTGATATTTCACGGAACTCAAAGTAAAATCAAAGAGAGTCGGAATGAGGAATCACTGGAGAAACATCCTACCATTTATAATAACTAGGCATGACTTTAGCAAAGTTGGAAAGTTACTATAAAATTTATTAGTAATAGATTAATGATGTACCTTTTGTATAGTGACTATAGTTTTAAAATTTATTATCACTTCTTAACACAAGCGTCGTTGCCTGGGGATGGTTAATGAAAAAAGTTATTCGAACGTGCGTTGTTTGTTCGACAATGATGGAGACTAAGTAGATCAAATATTACACGTAAAATTGAAGCCTTAGAACTATAATCTGTATTGTTCTTCAGAACTACTAAACATTTACTACTGAATAAATATCTTTTTGATATAGAAAATATACCTATTGTTACTTTTCCTGCTATTAAAATTCAGTTCGACTTAGACAAATCATTATTACAAACAACATTTGTTAATGGCCGGTTTCTCAGCTACTTTCAACAGTTTTTTAGTGTTTTTGGTTAGATAACTTCATGAAATGCGTTTCCGAACTACGTTACTTGAGTTTTACTCCGTTGTAACTTAGTTCAACCTAACACTTATTAATTACAGCACCTCAGTATAAGCCGTTCAAGGTTTAGAATAAAATGAATGCACCTGAGAAAAACATAACCCATAAGCAAATAAACTAAAAAGGTTCCACTCCCCTGGAATTTACAATGGCTTCCCTGCGTAGTTCAATGCTAATTTTCGTCTTAACGTTGTAGAATTAGTTTACTAAGGCAAGATCAATAACTGAGGTTTTATGAAGGTTAATTATAATAATTTGCTTTTATTGGTTTATTAATATTTTTAATTGGTTTTCTTCAAGATTCTGTCAACACTGAATTGTTAATCTGTTATCGTATTCTATAATCTTGCTATTTTATTCCGATGAAAAGCGGACGCACACCTTTGACTAAACTATCGCACAACTGTTATGCGATAATTGTGTGCAGCCTATTTAACTGTTTAATTGTAGAACTAAAAATCGTAGTGTGAACAATAGTGTGCGCAACTCCATAAAAGCTTATAGGAATCAAAGTGCGACTAAACAGTATTCGATAGTTTTGTCAAAAGAGTGCGCGCTCTCTTATTGACGTCAATCAGATAACAAAATCTTAAAGAAATTATCCTTAGCCGCATTTGATCACAATGTACATAAATAATTGATTTTTATTCATTAATTCAAGACAGTTATTGTTTTCAGTAGCAGTAGGCGATATCAGTCGTTTACTGGTTTGAAACAAACAACAAAATATGATATATAGGTATAGAACACGGTATGAATTAACCAAATAAGTAGAATTTTAAACATAATGCAGTTCCATTGATTACCACACAATGAAAACTGTTGAATCTTATTCAAGTTTGACTTTGGACGTTTAATGTGACCGAGGCGTTGAGGTCGATGATAGTCGAAATATTAGCATTCAGCATTCGTCGCCCGGCTTCCAATATTTACATAAATACATACTAGCGTTCGTTCGCAACTCCATTCGTTTAAATAAAAATAAACGGAAGTAGGCCATGTGTTCTTCCAGACTTTGCTCTAACCTTTCATCGAGATCTGTTCAGCTGTTTAGGCAGTAAACTCTAACAAACATCCTTCTGTCGTAATCTCAACTTTCGCATTTATATTTTAGTAAGATTTGATCATATTTGTGTAGTTAGGGTTATCCAGTGTGCCGGTTTTATGCAAATATTTGTTATTTCTAGAATGTAACAGAGAAGAGATAATCAAAGTTATTCGTTTTATCCAAATTCTATTCTATGTCTCAGCTACTTGTAAAATTAATGAATAATTGACGATTTATAACGTTAGCTTGTAAACTGTTCCAATCAATTTGTTGCTAACAGCTTATACTTATCATAATCTGTTGAGGTATATAATGACACAGTTGCCAGCTACATTTTTGTACTTATAAGAACTGAACTAGGTCAAATACTGACCTGATTCACCATATCGGACGAGGTAAATAAATTCAATTATAATTTCTCATTCATAATGTTACCGTAAATGTCTTCCGAAAGAAGAATACCGGGTGGTAATGAATGAGGTTAACTTCTTGATAAAACTTGATCTCCTTCTTACAGTCTGTATAAAAATAGTGTGTGTTCAATTGATGTATTTAGACAAGACATCAACTTGGAAAAGAAAACAATATCATAATGAATTCACTACTTTTCTTATGTTTTGTGTTATCAGTCGGAGGTAGTGAAGCTCATGTAAGTATTTTTTTTAATTTAAATATAAATTGTTATTCATTTTTTCATTTCAATGTTGGGTTGTTGCAAAATTTGAAAGCAAAATGAATTTTCGAAATTAAAATTTTATCTTGACTTGAATAAAGTAGTTTAATAAATATACACCTGAACATTTTTATTACAGACGGTCCACTTATCACATGCTCAAAAGGAGAAAGCCCATTTACATACAGCAGAATGTATGAAAGAAAGTGGAGTTAAATCGGAAGTGTTAGCTGAAGCGAAGAAAGGTGTATTCGAAGACGACGAGGCGCTAAAGAAATTCACATTATGCTTCTTTAAAAAATCAGGTATCATATCAGACGAAGGAAAATTGAATGTATCTGAAGCTTTAGCTAAATTACCAACAGGTGTTGACAAGGTAGCCTCTGAGAAACTTCTAGAAGAATGCAAAAAGAAAACAGGCAAAGATCACGCGGATACCGCCTTTGAAATTTACAAATGTTACTACCATGGCACCAAACAGCATATTCTTCTTTGAATGTTTAGTTAAAAATTATGTTATGACTATTTATTGATTACATTACTTTGTTAGATACATAATTGTTTTAATAACCCTGTGTTCGAATACTGCCTGCTATTGGGTACTAGCAATCGGCCCCATCTTTTTCTGGGTGACTGGGTGGCCAATAATATTTTCCCTTATATCTTTTCTGTCATACCCATATCCTTTCCGTTGCTCATTGATGTAGTTTTCTAATGGCGAAAGAATTTTTAAAATCGGTTCAGTTTCGGATGCAAACGATCTAATATTTCCACTTTATATGATAGTATGTATCAGGATTCAATTTACATGAATTAATAATACATTTGCTAAGGTTACTTCACTTTGATTACAATTTAATGAAGTTGTCAAATTATGTTAGTTAAGGTCCGGTCGTCGTGATTTATTGATTCGAGGCGGAAACAACTTTTTGTGGCCCATAATCATGTGTTACCTTGGAGATGTAGACACAGTTTCACCGGATGTTAGTGTGGCTAAACTGTGAATACATTTGTTGCGTGCATCTATGATTAAGCCATTAACGGTGTTACAAATTTACATATAAATGTTTTCTGACACGTCGTAATTATAAAATGATGTATTTAGTTCTAATGAATTGAGTTTCTTTGTCTATTAAACATGCGATACGCATTGTTCAATTTAGTTTAAACACAAGAAGCTTCTGTAAACTGAAAACATAAAGCACTGCACTAGTATTGATGTTTGTAGGCAGAGATAATCATTTAATATCTGGAAGAAGTCTCTTAAATTGTAAAGTCTGTATTGATCTAATTAGTAGGTTTAGAGTAAACATGAGGCATATTGTGTAGATAGATCCCCTTAGTGGGGACGTATAGTGAACTGGTGATGATGATGATGGTGGTGGGATGTTGATATTATATCGTCACTTTTTGAAAAGGATCGCTTATTAAAGAATATTGTGCGATGTTTTCTTAAAATATTACATTATAAGATACTCTTAAATGTCAGATGCATATCAAATAGTGGGTATTAATTTTACCTATTACAAGTGTGTTTTTATTTTCATAATAACCAATGCAGTTGTATGATATTTTATTTTTTTCTAGCTATATTTCTTAACATAATTGTTTAAACGTCTTTGTAGAACAGGTTTTCATGTTGATGTAATGATTATAAATATTATTAGACGACATAATATCAGGAGTTAAATATCAAAATATAATATAAATGGAACATAAGACAGGCGGGGTTCTGACAGTAAAAAACCGACAATTGTAAATGATAGTAAAAAAATAATATTGACAAATATACATTATTTACGTATCATAAAATATGTAATTCACAAACCTTAAGATACATTAAAAAAATCTTAGGTGAACATAGCTGAAGAAATTAAGTATAATATTTTGATACATAACACTGCAAATATTTTTGTACTAATATTAAAAACCGATCAAAGCACATAACTGAAGATCTCTAAATCTTATAAGATAAATATGAAGATTACATATAATAGATCAAATAAAAGATAAATAGAATTTAATAGACGATGATATCCACAAAATTACAGTATATAAGTATTTCTTAGTTCGATGTTTGATTTAGTTTCCTGTTGTAAAAGATACTTTTTAGTATTGCATCTATAATTTCAATAAAATGCTGTATTTTGTATTTATTATTTGCATCGCGACAGTCATTCAATGCAGTGGAAATAAGGTATTTGTTTATAATTTTATGATAATTACTAAATGACGAAGAACATTTTGTAATTTTTTATATTTACGGATATTAACAATGTTGGACACCTGTTTTAAACCTGAACTGGTCTAACGTGGTTGACTATGGCTCAGTCATCCCTAACTTAGGGTAGGCTCCGAGCCCTACAGTGGGGACGTATAGTGAGCTGGTGACGATGATGATTGAATGATATTGCTTAAGAATTGGTTACTGTCGCTGCAATGTCATTCATATCTGCTCGACTTATTTACCCGAAAAGCAACATATGTATAACAATTTTTGTATCAAACATTCTATGGTTATCCATTTATTATATTTTGACATTTAATCTCCTTCTGACTTTCTCATTGAAAAGTATAATAAACGATGTATTTAATTTAACTAATGATTGTTAATATGTTCCAGCCAATTGTTATACTGGATCCAAAATTGGTAGAACAAATCTCCGTAAATGCAGCGAAATGCTACAAGGAAGTCGGAGCTGGCCCAGAATTACTGACAAATCTGATACCATGGAAGTTAGAAGAAAATGAAACGAATGGAAAATTTTTACTATGTTTAAGTAAGGAATTAAAATGCGACGAGGAAAATGGTCACTTGAATGTAGATCATTTTATAGCGCTCTTCAAGAGTTCGCTGAAGGAGTACGACATAGAAAAATTCAAACAATTATTGAAAAATTGCAATAAAGAAAGCGGCAAAAATCAATACTTTACTATCTATAAAGTTGCGAATTGCTTTCACACTAAATCTCCAGTAATATTGGCCGTGCAATAAGAATATAAAATGTAAATAATTTTTGTAATTGGATACTAACATGATACTTGAAATAAAATATTGACGAAACAGATTTAATTTTTTTATAAAGAAACAGCTGTAAAAACGAATGTTTTACTATAAGTAAATCCCTTTCTAAACAGTGAAATTAGTTAATATCCTATAGGGGATGGGACGCATAGCCATAAATTATTAAAAAAACATGCATAAATTTGACAAAGAAAATGTAATATTAGAACACACATAATATAGTAAATACTCAAACACGATACCTTTGATTAGCTTGAAGCTTGAGCCTAAATACTATGAAATAATATAAAAAAAAACAGGAATTGTATTCAATTTGATCATTATCGATCAGCGCCTTAAGAATAATATAATCATATTAAGAATAAAAGACAAGTTAGTAGTAAACTTGTGGACTCCGTGAAATTCTGATTACCGGTTTTACAATATCGCTACATGCAATTGATGGTTACCAACACGGTATTCTTGTAGATGGAATAAATCAAGATAGTGCGTTTACACGTTTACCTATGATGCGTCGGTAATTAAAAAAAAACACTTTGGCTATTAACCAAATCAACATGTAATGCTAGTCCAAGTTAAAACATTAATTCAACTGTAATGAAACGCTTTAATTTTAAGTGTTGATTTAGCTTTATTGCATTGTAATTAGAGGTATTCGAATCGATTTTATTGTTCACTTTGTTTCTTTTTTTCGATCGTTGAAGGTCAAATTATCAAACATGGCAGACACGAATGGATGATATTTTTGCTGGGTTCTTCTATGAAAATGACAAGTATTTTAATTAAATACTTTTTTATGGCAATTACACTTAACTTATTTTTATTCGACAGAGAAGAGAATAAAATTTACAAAACATGCTTACTTTCTTTAGTAGTCGAACGGTCCTTTCGTGAACAGTTAATGCGAAATTAACCACTGTTTATTTCAGTCACCGCTTACCAGTTGGCTATTTGCATGTAATAGAAAATATCCCTCGATCGTAAAAATACCCTATCGGTTCCGAAGTCCACGTTATGTCGATGGCACCCCACAAGCTATTAATCGATTCTCATTATTTTGAATACAGTCAAAATTTGGCATTTTTTAACTAACGCAAGTTTGCAGGTTTATGTCATTTTTAAGTAACCAACTAATTACGTAGTAATTTTAAAAATTAGTAAACGTATGTATTATATGGTTTTCAAGTTATTGTGTACATTAGTATGGGGTTTTGTAGGTAAATTTAATGGTAAATTAGGGAGTAAAGGTAACTTTTAAGTTATTATTAAAACCATACATTTCATATTATTAAGCGCCAATAGCGTAATGTTTTGTGGTACGGACTACCGATCTTGCGGTCGAAGTTCGAATCCCGCCATTTGACTATTGTGAACGACATCTAGCACAAGCCTAGAAATTAGTTGGAATGGTTAAAGGAAATATTAGTAAATTAATAAAGATCTACTAATGTTTCTAATTAAAATAAAAAAACAAAGTAATAAAATATTGTAAATACGACAGCTACGAATAAATGTCTACGTATCTCCAAAACTGCTTTAAAGATCTCGATGAAATTGGCACATATATAGAACACATGCTACTTACTGTATTTTTATCTTCGCACAGAAGAAGTCGCAGGCATATCTAGTTTATTAAAAATAGCTTTTACAAATAGTCGTTGAGCCACCGATCCCTAAAAGCCCAATCAACATAATGATGCTAAATAATGGATTAATAAGGAATCTTAAACGTTATCGCCACGAAAACAACTAAATGTAAAGTATAAAAAGATTTTCCACTTTATTGGTTATTCAGTGATTGTAACACTTCAAGTGTTAGCAGTGGACTCTTCAAATAATTGATACAATTGTAATTTCAATCAAAAATGTTTGTTAACTTTTTATTGATCTTTGGTATTGTGGTCGTTGCGCAGGCGCACGAGCATACAAGTGATGAAGGCAATAAGGTAAAGTTTTTCTTTAATTTATGTTTTTAAGAAAAGATTTTTCGAATTAGTTATTATTTTTTATGTATCTCTTTAATAATCATAGATTATTTACTAGCAATCGCAACTTTACTTTGATTTTTACTTTTTTTTGTCAAGAAACAAAACATTTTTTTTTAAATATTTATATAATAACTACGAGTACGTTTTAAAACCCGATCCAAATGGACTAAACATACAACATTATACATGTGAAATTTTGGTTGGATGAATTTTTGTTACTGTTTATTTCCAATACGGCTTAATAGAATTACTGGAAGAACATATTTTCTATCCTTCTAAAAATAATAGGTATTTCTTTTTTATTTTCGCACAGCTAAAGTCGCGGGCAAAAGTTAATCTAACTAATAATTTAAATGCGAAAGTTTACAGGGATGGATGAATGTTCGTTAGAGTTTGTAGCTGAACGGACTTCTATTAAATTTGGCATAGATGTCGAAGTTAGCTTGGAAGAACACATAGCCTACTTTCTTTTGTTTTTATAATTACACGCGGACAGAGTAGCTTGCTCCTTGATTAAAAATTTAAAACGGTTTTTTTTTATTTTCATGAAAATGATCCTTTTAGTTTTTAGGCTCTTCTACATTAACTTTGTCTGTGTTAAACTTTACCTTCAACCAATAAAGTAATTACCTTAAGAAAGGGTACAGGGAATACGTATAATATAGTGTTTTTTGTTTTTCAGCCCATCCTTCCGCTTGAACATGATCTTGTTTCCCTGATCACGACAAAAGGCGATATTTGCGTTAAACATTCAGGCGCCAGCCCTGCTATAATGCACAAACTCTTACCATGGAGGGTAGAGGAAAGTGAAGTGAACGGAAAATTCTTACTCTGCCTCGCTAAAGAAATGGAATTCCACGAGAAAGATGGTAAACTCAAGGTTGACAAGTTCATTGACCTCTTCTACGACTCCTTGAAGTCGCAAGATGTGGAATCTTACAGAAAATTGTTGGCTCATTGTAACGAACTTACTGGACCGAACGCTTACTATACTGTGTACAAGATCGCTAACTGTTTCCATACAAACACGCCTGTTAAAATGGCATTGCACGTACTTGTATATTAAGATATGCTACACGTACTTTTTGTAATATTTTCTATACCTACGTAATTATTTTTTTATAAATGATTTTATGTCATTCTGCTAATAAAATACTTATTTAATTTATGTATTTCTTTTCTCGCGGGTAATGAGTATCTAGAATATTAAGAAACTGGTTGGTAAGAACAAGTACATTTAAATGGTTTCCGTTATTCAAATTGGAATCAGAAACACCATGCCACAATGTTCGAAGAGCATTAAATGAGTGCAGAATGCGCATTTTTGATTTAGATCGAAAATAGATGTCGAAGTTAATTGATTTATTTCTTAAAGCTAACACACGTTCCTGCGCTTACGTCTCTTTATGTGGGCAGTGGGTTAGATATTAAAAATGATTGATTTAAATTTTTTTGCATTTACAAAAGAAGGAAATAAATTAAACAAAGGTAAACAATGCAAACTAAGGTTTATTTCGACTAATTACCTTTTTTTAGAAATTCAAACATGTTTTCAAAAGCGGTTTATTCTAACTGAAAATATTTTAAGAATATTTTCACATCAAGAACCTGATTGGTACTTTGTCAAAGAAGCATTCGGATATGACGTATGCTGTCTCTTGTGAATTATTTCCTCTTTTACCTTCACAGTCTGCGAACGCTTTCTTGATGTCCTCGAATTTTTCACTGCTGGCAAAAATTGGATGTACTTTTTCTCTGTAAAATGTACCGTCTTGATTTGCCAAACCCAAGGTTGTTACGAAGCAAAACAAAGACTTTTCGTTTAGTTCATTTTTGGGATAATTCCATGGGAAAAGATGTTCCATAAAGTCTGAAGGTGCACCAACTTCTCTTATACACATTTCGCTTACCACCTTTGCTTTTTCGAAAAACTTTGATGGCATTTTAAAAGGTACCTGTAAAATGTGCAACAGTTATAATAATCAGTAGAAAGATTTGATTCAGTAATAATTCGTTAGATTAAAGGATTATTCTTAGAAACTGCACGTTTATTACAGCAAAATAGTTCAGTTAACATAAATATCACTAATAAAATGATACAATAATCGTTATTTGTGTATGTCCAAAAATAGATGGAATTTTCTCGTAATGAAGAAAAAAATACAGCGTAAATATATATAATGAGAGTATAATACGTGCTTATTACATACTAGCTGTTCCTCACGACTTGGTTTACGTGAAATTAAAAAATAGTAAAACTAGCCTATGTTACTCAGCGATAATGTAGCTTTTTAAAGGTAAAAGAATTTTTGAAATCGGACCATTAGTTTTTAAGTTTTCAATACATACAAAAATACAAATCTTTCCACTTTATAATTATAATATTAGTATATGAAAGATTGGGACAGTATTATTTTTGATATTAGCTTTGACCAAGTTTAAACTGACTTACTTTCGACGCATTTGTGCCCAACAGACAAATACCAGAAATCAGCAATATTATGAAAATGTTCATTTTTGTAAATTCACTTTTATTTTCACTATCCTGCTCTCAAAGTAACCGATGAATGAGTAAATTACAAAATCTTTTACGTGTTTTATAGTTATTTGCAAGGATATTATAAAATTTGTAAATAAATAACGTTCAAGTAAAAAGCCAAATGAATTTTCCTTTTAGCTGTTAAATTAATTTGCCCCGAAGTTTTTACATATATCCACAAATCTGGCATTACATTGATACAAATGTATGTTAAGTAATGATACATATTGTTTTAAAGTTCAACGTTGTGAACGTTAATATTGTATTGTTTTTAATTTGGCTTAGATAAAGTGATATAAACTGTCATAAATAATAATAAGATTTTAATGTGAATTTATGTTTCAACTTAAAAATAAAGGAAAAAGATACACTCGCTCCCCAGGTCCCTGACTAAAATGCGTTAGAGGAACGAGAGGGCGGCAAAAAAAAGAGCAATCTTAAGAATAACATCAAGATCTCAAGATCAGTGGACCGCAAAGTGTGGTTCCGATTTACTCAAACTTTTCAAGGAGATGCAAGCAGATTGTTCGCATTAATCATTAAAGCCTCCCAAAACCATTTTAATTGTTTTAATATAACAATTAAAATGGTTATGTTCCTTTAGGTGGGATCGTGGTCAAGCGCTAGTTTAACAAATAATAAAAAAAAAATTTAGCTAGTAAGTTTGTCAACCGCACACGTAGATGTACAATTGTGTCAGATTTATTTATTACTCGGTGCTGCTCGCGACTTCGCCAGCGTACAATTAAGAAAAGCCTATGTTACTCATAGATAAATTACCTTTCTAACGGTAATAATTTTTTAAATCGACCTAGTAGTTTTTGAGTTATTTCAATATATACAAAAATAAAAATCTTTCCTTCCTCTAATATTAGTATAGATGTATCTATTATGTCAAAATTAAATGTTTACGACGTTTAATATTAGTACCGAATTGTCTATTGTTAAAGTATATTTTACTTATAAATTCACAAGACATAAGTTAGTTAGTTAATAAAACGTTTTATAATAAGATGTAGTAATATATTTTATCCGAAAAAATAAATGACCCATGTCGTGAATAACTTGGTTTCTAGAATACAGAACAGTTTTTGTTAAAATTATTCACTACGTATTTGCTTTTTACTTATGTTAAGCAATAACTCTTGAGAATACGAGTACTATTTTTAGAACTTCTTGTTGAAATTTCTAGACAATTCGAGGAAATCACTTTTTATTATACTTTATACTTTATAGTTACTTTTTTTTCTTTTTTATAAAAATATTAGGAGATTTTTGTTAATTTACTAATATTTCCTTTAACCATTCCAACTAAGCTCTAGGGCTTGTGCTAAGATATGGTACACGACAATAGTCGAATGGCGGGATTCGAACCTTCGACCGCAAGATCGGTAGTCCCTACCCCAAACCATTAGACTATTGGCGCTTACTAATATTATAAATGCGTAAGTTTGGATTGATGTTAGTTAGAGTTTGTAGCCTAAACGGCCGAACGGATTTCGATGAAATTTGATGTAGATGTAGAGGATGGTCTTCAAGAACACATAGCGTCTCTTTTTTTTTAAAATTCCATGCGGTCGGAGCCGCGAGCGAAAGCTAGTTACTCAATAATAGCATCAAGCATGTGAGAATTATGTTGCATTAACAATTATTCATTGGCTTTATTTTGAATTTTACTACTTATTTTAAAGGTGCGTTTGGCGTATTTTATGTAGTCTCCCTAGATAGAGCATCTAGGGATCGCGTTAATTTTTTCCTTCGCTATTTTTAACTTATTTAAGCAGGCGATATATTTCCAAATATGTTATGAATGTGGAGTGCATCGGTGGAGGTAGGCATAGAAAAAATTGATGGATTGCGTGAAAGGTTACATGATCAGGAAGGGAGTTATGCCTGACATGGCGGATGTTAGAGTTATTTGGAGGGCGAAATCCTGGTGCGCCGTCCCTACAGGAGTAGGATAAGACAGAGGAGATGATTATATACATACTTGCCGCTAAAACTAAACAGTTGGATTTAAAGGTGAAACTTACATATTTAGGAAATAAAAGTACAAGAGTTGAAACACTAATGAAACGATTTTTTATAAGTGTTGATTTAGTTTTATTGCATTCTAATTGATGGTATTCGCATCGATTTTGTTGTTCACTTCGTTCCTTTTTTTCGATTGTTAAAGGTCAAAATATCAGACAAGCAGATGCGAACGCAAAATATTTTTTGTGGGGTTCTTCTATGGAAATCTTACTTTTTAATTATATCATAAATATGAAAGTAAATATAGATGGATGTATCCTAGAAAGAGATGGATGGATTGCGTGAAAGGTTACAAAATCAAAAAGGGAGTGATGTCTGAGATGACGTATGATAGAGTTATGTGGAGGACAAAAACCTGCAGCGCCGACCCTACGGGAGTAGGATAATGATGGCGTTGATGAAGATGGATGTTTGTTAGGATTTATAGTACAAATCTTGATGAACTTTGGCATAGATGTAGAGGATAGTATGGAAGAATACATAGGCTACTTGCTTTTGTCTTTTTTAATACCACGCGGTAGGAGTCGCGAGCGGAAAGCCAGTAATACATATCCCGTAACCTACTTTTATTAGGTAGGAGGAAGAATATAATGAAATTGCTAATTTAATCAAGTCAAGTTGTTTTAAATATATGGTTAAAAAGCTATTCATATGTCATGTGCGGTTAACTTTAAAAATAAACGAGGAAGGAGAGACTTTTAAGTTATCATTAAAATTAAATGAATGTAGCTTTTACACTAAGTTCATGAGCCACCGATCTCTAAAAGCCCAATCAGCTTAAAGATGATAAATAATGGAATCTTAAACGTTATCGCCACGAAAACAACAAAATGTAAAGTATAAAAAGATTTTCCACTTTATTGGTTATTCAGTGATTGTAACACTTCAAGTGTTAGCAGTGGACTCTTCAAATAACTGATACAATGTTAATTTCAATCAAAATGTTCGTTAACATTTTATTGATCTTTGGTATTGTGGTCGTTGCGCAGTCGCACGAGCATACAAGTAGCGAAGGAAATAAGGTAGAGTTTATTATTCTTATATTTTAGAAGTGTATTCAAATTTCTAATTTTTATTTAATTCTTGAATTACATGCTAGCAGTTAATTGCAGCCTTACTTATTTGATTTATTTTTTCAAGAAACAATACATCGGGGACAAAACTTCGTTTTTATGTGTATAAATTTAATTATCATTGACATATGATATATGATATGATATGTTTGTTATATTTTTGGCATTTACTAGGCTGGGTATAAGAATTTTGCTTCTCATATTAATACTTATAATGTTTTATTTTTGTTTTTCAGCCCATCCTTGTGCTTCAACCAGATCTTGTATCACTGATCACGAGAAAAGAAGAGATATGCGTGAGAGAGTCAGGTGCCAGCCCTGCTGTAACGCATCAACTCTTACCGTGGAAGCTGGAAGAAAGTGAGGTTAACGGAAAATTCTTACTATGCCTCGCTAAAGAAATGGAATTCTACGATAAAGATGGAAAAGTTATGGTTGACAAGTTCATTGACCTCTTCTACGACTCCCTGAAGTCGCAAGATGTGGAATTGTATAGAATATTGTTGGCTCGTTGTAACGAACTTACTGGACCGAACGATTATTACACTATATACAAAATCGCTAACTGCTTCTATACAAAATCACCTGTTAAAATTGCATTGCACGTGCTTGTATATTAAATGTTTATCTAACTTTTTGTTACGTTATATAAAAAAATGTTTTTCACAAAATACTTTGTGTTCTTTGAATAAAATACTCGTTTTAATTTGTGTTTCTTTTTTCGCGGTCAAGGAGTACAATGTCTAGAATATAAACTGGTTTTAGTTGCAAGTTTTAATCATACAAATGGTTGTCAATAAGATTGGAGATGAAATGATAAACACCAGGTGTGAAATAAAAGCTGGCTCAGTGCATCTTGCTTTTTGATTGTTATTTTGAAATAAATACTTTTTCAAACCCTATTCGTAGTTCAAAGTATCACAAGTAGAGTGTTATGCACGAAAATCGATCGATCGATAGAATGAACAGTAATCGAAATTATTATTCCTATCCTTTTTATTTGGTAAATGATTTAAATGTAATTAGTATTGATGTTTTCAAACTTTTGTAATGTGAAATTATAAATATTATATAATGTATGTATGTATATGTAAATATTACAACAACCAACTACAAAAACATAAATACTCATAAACTTGCTAATATTTTTTTTGTTAATTTGATAATTTATTCAATATTTAAGACTGTCGATGTCAAATTATATAAACGTAGATAATTGTATAAATACCGGTAATGTTAATTTAGTAAGTCATCTGTACTTTGTGCGTGCTTCGTTTATCATCTACAAAATTACTTAGCAAAATGATTTACTCAATTCTGATCATATCTGCCTGTCTTTTGGGAGCAAATGCATCACCGGTAAGTTTTTTTGCTTTTCAATTAATTATTGTAAGTTTGTATCGAACGGGTTAAGGGTTTAGAGTCATCGCAATGTAATTTAGAACAGATATAGAACATAGTCTGGAAAAATACATAGGCTACTTACTCATCATCTCACATACCCTATCCTGCTACCGTAGGGTTGGCGCACCGGGTTTTCGTCCTCCAAATAACCCTATCATCCGTCATCTCAGTCACCACTCCCTTCTTGATCATGTCACCTTTCACGCAATCCATCCATCTATTTCAAGTACATAATAATAATAATAATAATAATAATAATAATCATTTATTTCAGACATCAAAGATCCATAAGGTGTTAGTGTACTTAGAATTTAATTACGCGCGGGGTCGCGGTTGACAGCTAGTCTAGAAAACATTTTTGTTTTTATATGGGCTAGCAAGTAAACTGATTTTTTACCTTATTTATTTTTAGTAGACAAAAGAGAGAAGAAGTGAAAAAATCTTTATTAAATTTATTCACACAACTAGGGATTTTAATTGATTTATTTTCCTGTACGTTGTCTGCGTTCATGTATAATTTTATAAACGAACGAAGAAGGTTTACCGATAACTCCCTCCAACTAACCCATGCCTACCGAATGCATCGTGCATGCATCTCGCACTCATCTGCCGTCAACTAACGCGTGACATCATAATACCATCGATAAAATCTGTGAACTTAATACGTTTTTATTTCATAGGTGCTTGTCAAAATGCCAACGCAGATGGTTGACAAAGTGAAGATAGCTGCAGATCAATGCATTAAGAATACCGGAGCTCCGGCCGACTCCTTGACCAACACGTTACCTTGGAACCTCCCCGAAAACGAAACAAATGAAAAATATTTATTCTGCCTTTGCAAATCATTGAATTTAATAAACGATCAAGGTTATTTTAATTATGAAAGAACAATGAAAATCTTCGCCAACAGCGATAAGAAAGAGGCCATTGAGAAAACTTTCAACGAATGTAAGGCATCGAAAGCTAAAGATCAGTATGAAACTGCCTACAAGATAGTAGATTGTTTCTTTAAAAACGGTCCTGTATCATTATCGTTGTAGAGCGATTCTTCTGATATCTATCTTATACTTATTTATATGAAAATAATGTAAATCATTCAAATCAAACACATTAAGGGTCAAAATATTTTATTTATGGTAACAAAATTCATTTTATAAATCTATTAAATAGATAATATATATCATTAAAGCTGTATTTATTTATCAAGTACTTATTACGTAATCGTGTTTTTATTGTAATCGGCTACGTCATAATGATTATTATTACCACCAGCGTGTCAGAACAACATGTTCTCGTATTTAATTTCAGTCGTCACTGATGTTACTTAACTTTCGTATAATCCATTAATTACTTCTTCAATAACCTTCAAAGTTGCTTGACTGTTTTGTTTTAATGTACCTAAAATGTCATCGTAAATTGCCCTTGTTCCCGCGAAGGGTCCGCATAGTTAGTATGTGCTGCACTTCCACACATTAGTCATCCTAAAATGTACATACATACATACTTATTATAAATTCGAAAGTTTAAATGGATGGACATTTCCTATTATGTATCTTCAGAACAGCTCAACGGATATCGCTGAAATTTTGCATATATGTAGAACATAGTTTGGAAGAACACTTAGGCTACTAATTTGGTTTTATTCAATTTTGCCCGGACAGAGTCGCGGGTGAGAGCTAGTTATTAAATAGATGTTTTCGTGTCATACCGGATGTTTATTAAATATGAAGTTACTTTTTTTCGGTAGTAAGATATGATGGAAATCAGACAAAAAATACTAAATAAGGTTTATTTCCACTAATTACATTTTTTCTCTGAACAAAAACAATTGTTCTGCGTTATAAATTTTTTTAACTGTTCTTTAAGCATTTTTACATAATCAGCCTGATGGGTGCTTTATCAAAGAAGCATTCTGCTACGAGGAATGCAGTCTCCTGTGGGCTCTTCCCTCTTAAACCTTTACATTCAACAAAGGCTACCTTGATTTCCTCGAATTTGTCACTATTAGAAAAAACGGGTATCACTTTTTCAGGTATATATATACCATTTTCATCTGTCAGACCTATAGTTTTAACATAGCAAAACATAGCATTTACATGCGCTTCGGTTTTAGGGTAATTCCACGGAAATAGTTTTTCCATAAAGTCAGCCGGCGCTCCTTCCTCTTTAACACACTTCTCGCCTACAGCCTTCGCTTTTTGGGAAAACTTAACTGGCGTTTTAAAGGCTACCTGTGAAATAAAAAATGTTGAATTTTAGAAACCTAATCGATAACATTTATATAGCATGTATTTATAAATGCCGTATTTTTTAAATTTTATCATGGTTTAAATGTTTATAAAGTGGAGGAACAGGGTTTTATAGTGTTTATTCTCAGGAACTGTCCATAGTTTCTAGTTTTTTGTTTAGATTGATTTTGAAAGGTAAAATTTAATCATACTAATACACTAATATTAATAAATGCGAAAGTTTAGATGGATGGATGGATGGATGGATAGATGTTTGTTAGAGTTTGTAGCCTTAACGGCAGAACGGATCCAAATGAAACTTGGCATAAATGTGGAACATAATCTGGAAGAACACATAGGCTACTTACTTCTGTTTATTAATTCCGCGCGGACGGAGTCGCAGGCGAAAGATAGTTAACTAATATAACGTGACTAATACGAGATGTTAATTGTTATTTACAATTACGCTCAATTTGTGTGGCTTGTATCTATGTAGGCAATAATGGAATACAGAAGGGGTTTTAAGGTCGCCGCTCGCTTGATTGCCACCTTGTAATGTAAAAAAAAGAAATGATAGCATAGTTTTGCTATATGTATTCATATGTTATTAGCGCACGTCTACGACTCAGTCGTCAGCGCAGAATTTAAAAAATAATGTCCCCGCGAGCTAACTTTCGGTCTTAATCCCCCCAAATCGATTAACCGATCCGCAGATTACAAACGCGGCTTTGTGGACACACGGACAAAAAAAACATATATAGTCACATTATATAGATTGAAAAACTTACCTTTGACGCATAAGTACCAAACAGACACGCCGTAAGAATCAGCAAAATTGTGCAAATGTTCATTTTTCTAACTTGATTTTTGTTCTGACTTTTCTGCTCTCAATATCACGAATGAATAAAATTATGCGATCTTTTTTGTTATATACAACTACATATGTATTAACTAGCATATTTTAAAGATAGAAAAAAATTTAAATGAATTTTTCATTAACGTTAAATCATCTTGTTCAGGATATAACCGTATAACCACAAAACTATACAATATGCAAAATGTTAGTGAGTTAACTTTCGCCCGTGACTCTGTCCGCGTGGAATAAAATAAACAAAAGTAAGTAGCTTATGTGTTCTTCCAGATTATGCTCTACGTCTATGAAAAAGTTCATCGAGATAGATTTCAGTAGTTTAGGCTAACTCTAACATCCAATCACCAACATCCATACATCTAAATTTCTGCATTTGTAATATTAGAATAAATGGGTATAAATACATCACAAAAATCATACTAATATTATAAATGGGTAAGTTTAGATGGATGGATGATGTTTGTTAGAGTTTGTAGCCAAAACGGCTGAACGGATTTCGATGAAATTTGGCATAGACGTAGAGGATAGTCTGGAAGAACATATAGGCTAAGTAGCCTGAGCCTAAGTTAAAACGAATGTAAGTACATTCGTTTTTTTAAAATACCGCGCGGACGAAGTCGCGTGTGAAAGCTAGTATAATATAAAGCTCACCCTAATATTCAACCTACTTAAAATAAAAAAATACATCTAGGTAAAGTGGTTGACTAGCACAAAAGGCTAAAATCTACATAAATGTGGAAATGCCCATGACAAACTGCCTAGCCCGGTATTCGCGCACATCTCGCCGAAACAAATACACCGACTTCAGGTGATTCAAAATAGATTCATGCGCAGAGCCACGGGGGCCCCGTGGTACATGCGCAATAGTGATCTTCACATCGACTTGGACTTACCCACCATAGCCCAACACCTGAAGCAGGCGTCGCGTCGTTATTTTGACTCTGCCGTCGGTCATCCTAATTCGTTAGTTGTAGGTGCCGCCACCTACAACCCAATCGCGCTCGGTAAATTTCGTCGTGATCATCGCAGACCTAGGCACGTTCTTGACTTCCAAGACGATGCAACAACAATCGCTCAGGCTAGGATTAAACAACTATGCAAACAAACAACACGCCGTAGTCGCTGTCGACTACGGCAATCATTCCCGCGATACGGCCTCATAGCAGGCAGGTTCTCTCCTATCAATGATAGAAGCGTTGCTGGAGTTTCTTCCGCCACTTCTTCTCCCAGCGCTAACGCTTGCCGAAGTGGTAGTAATGTTAGATGTATTAATAATTATAATAATGATCAGATAGCAGCAACCGATCAAGTCGAGGTTCGGCCCTCTCGGGCGCCCTTGAATCGGAATGCTAAACGCGTATTGAGTGACAGCCCAAGCCGAGGTCCCCTCTCGGGGACCCTTGTGCTAAGTCACTCCATGGAGCGACCACCGAAGCGATCTAAGAGCTTGGTGGCCTCCCAATCCGGTAATAATAACGAAGTAACGGCCCGAGCCGAGGCTCCTGAGGGAGCCCTCGAGCTTAGTTACTCATAAAAGAGGTTTAGGCTAAGCGCCATCTGCGCGCGGCCACCTCAAGCCCGGTGAATCTGTAAATGCCTCCTCAAGGCAAACAGTGACAAATCAGTCAAAAAAAAAAAAAATGACAAACTGCCTGAACCTTTTTTTTTCTTATAATATAAGGTGGCAAACGAGCAAGCGGCCACCTGAATCCACCGAAATGGAAAGCGACCGCTGCCCATAAGCAACCGCAATTGCAAATGCGTTGCCTACCCTTCATTGACGGAGGAGGAGACGCACCTAAAGAGGATATTTCCCCTTCCTATGCGTCTTCTCCACCGTCAATTCCACTTTTCCTTCCCACCCTTTTCTTAAGAAAAGGGTAGAAAGGGAAAGGGACTAAAATTAGGCCTCCGACACCACACTCATCAGACGAAACGCGGAATTGCTTCCACTTCACGCCTGTTTTCTGTGTGGTCGCGGTATTACACCGGGCGAGCCGGCCCATTCGTGCGAAGATGTTAAAGCGGGCTCTACCACTGTTAAAACACACCTAATCGGAGACGTGACACACCTGATCGTGAGATCGATAGATTCTGGATCGATGATTGCATGTATGTACATTATGTATATACGCAGTTACATTGGAAAAAGGGTGAATTAGTTCGTTATATGGAAATGTTCGGGATACAAAAACAAATGCACACATGATATACACGATCGAATTCAATGTTAAGTTAACTATACTAGAAAACAGTAAGTTAAGAAATAACAAGGTTATTTTTTTTTAATAAAAGCTTATGAATATGTATGTAACAAAAATGGCGTGACGCATTTTATAGCATAGAAATACATAATAGTTGCCTCAGATAACAATATGAATTAAAAAAAATAATAAAAACATAGCCTTTGTTATTCACTGATAACGTAGCTTATTAATGGTAAAAGAACTTTTGAAATCGGCCTAGTAGTTTTTGAGTTATATCAATACATACAAAAATACAAATCTTTCCTCTTTATAATATCAAGTATAGTTCAGTATAGATAACCTTATTAGGGTCCGTTCGGCAGACTAGAGAGTAGAGCAGAGCAGATTTTGTATCGCAAATGAAATTGAGCATTATAGCCTTGCAACAAGGTTTGATTTTACTTAACTCGTCTTGTTTTATCAGAAACAAGCGTTAAAAATGTATGCTCCGAGCTCCTTAGTGGGTACGTATAGTGAGGTGATGGTGATGATGATATAATTCATACAATTTATGTTGTATTACTTACTCGTACTTTCATGCTAAAAACAGTGATCATGTTTAATTATGCGACACGTAACGAGACTTCTAGAAAGTTTTTTTTAGTCAATGTGTCGTTACTTTTTGTCTTATTTTCAAGCAAAAAGTTTTTTGAGAGCGGTACAATTCTTGTTGATTTTTTGATACTCACAAAAATCTATTCTTGTTTAAAACCAAATGAGTATTTTAATCTTGTGAGGTATTGTTATTTATCTACACTGTTAATAAATTGTATAGTCTGTATGTAATATCGGAAAAAAAATCGCGAACGTAATGTATTTTGATTGCAGATAACAAATGTTCGACTTAAAAACCAAATGATCATCTGTGTCTGCCTGTATCTGAATATGGCCTCCCTCCTCGTGATATTTCGTGATTTTATATGCCATCTCTCCCTCCTTGCGAGTCTCACGTGACTAATGGACGTATTCGAGATGGGGTACTGGCAGATTATTTCATTGTACAAGGGTAAAGTAGTTTGCTATGATTCATATATATTTAAAAAGTATAATTGTCTTTCATGATTTATATACTCTATCACGTAGTGATAAAACGTTATGAAATATAGGGAATAAAAAAAATAATTTTAAAATATGTATTTACTAATATATGTAAATTTTTATTATAGTTTAAATTTTCACATTTATAAATATCGAGTTATTTTAAGAAGAATTCTCTGTTAAAAAAAAACAAGTTTTGAACACAAATTAAAGACTTAATATAACTGGAGCTTTTGCATGGAAACAATCGGTAATCTTAAAATTAACATCAAGTATGTCTTCCCCCTCTAACGCATTACATTCATTTATTGTTTTTTCGATGTCTTCTTTCATAACGCTGTTTACGAATAGTTTCATCACTTTATCGGCATAATAGTGTCCATCAGTTCTAGCCAATTTAGTTGTTTGTCCTAGACAAAACAAATACTTTTGTGATAGTTCGTTCTGTGGCATTTTCCAAGGTAGAGTAAGTTTCAAATATTCTTCCGGTGCCCCCGCTTCTTTTATACATTGTGTCGCTGCTGCCAAAAATTTTTCAGCCGATTGAGGTGGCATTGTTTGCACTGGCTGTAACCAAAATACTGTTTTAAAAAATGTTTATTTTAAAAGTACTGGTATTTTTATTTATTAAGTATAGATGTAGATTGTAATTAAATAAGATCTGGAATACACATATTTTACCGTTTGAAAAAGACATCAATTATCGATGATTAATTTCGGACAGTTTCAATAGCCGTTATTTCTCAAAAATCCGTACCGGACTCCAGTCACGGTATAAAATGAAATTGAAACACTGTCTATGTTTTTATGTTAAGGCTCTGTAAACTAGTGTGTTTTCAGTACCTGTGATTGCAGTCTTAAAAAGATTAAATTATGTCGATAGATTTGACATAATTTAAATTGATTAACTTAAAGTAGAAACAATGTATGATAAGTATATTTTTAGGAAACATGTTTCTGGATTGATAATTGAATAGAATTAAATAATTTAAGAAACTTGAATGAACAAATTCGTAAGCACGTTACCTTAGACGCATTTGAGTCCCAAAATGACACTACAATAATCAGTAAGATTGCATAGATCATTTCTATTAGTTTTCTGGTTTAAATATTACGATAGAATGCAAAGATATTGTAGTATTTGAATTTATATAGTATACTGGTCAGTAAAAGCAAATTGCGAATTTATTGTACTCTTTGTTGTTTTGCAGCAGTTTTTTGCCACTTATTCATTTTTAATTTACTAATGTTACAAATTGCAATTTACATTTTCTTTTAACTTTTTAGCAAAATAATTAAGTTAACTCCAGGTTTTGTTTGAATATCATATAATATCTTATCTATACTAATATTATAAAGAGGAAAGATTTGTATTTTGTATGTATTGAAAAAACTCAAAAACTACTGGGCCGATTTTAAAAATTCATCCACCGCCAGAAAGGTAATTTATCTGTAAGTAACATAGGTTATATTTTTTTATTTGACGCTGGCGAAGTCGCGAGCAACAGCTAGTATTGTGTAATTTTGTAAATTAAATGATACATATCACTCGACATACTAGCTTATACTCGTTTTGTGTGTACATACTATACGACACTCCGCTACAGACTGCTGAG